CACGTGACGGAGTCCTCTGGCGGTACTCCGCGCCCGGGGCACTTTCAACTCGACCGCTTGATTGCCCTATGCACCGGTTGTTCGCCGGCAGTGTGTTCATCATGACGGACGATTTAGTTTGCTGATGACACGGAACGCTCAGTTTGATGCCGACAGCGAATGGTATGATGAGCCGAAGCGCCTGTGAAGCGCAGGGTGGGCAAGCCCGCCGAACGCGCCCGTCACGCGGCGGAGCCTACCCTCCAGCTTGCAGGCGTTCTCGTTGGGCGTGAGGTCACCGTGAATTGGGTGTTTGCTTCAATGGGCAACGTGTGCGACGGCAGCGCGGCGGGGTTTCGAACCCGGGCCGCACGTTTCGGCCTCCAGCGCGGAGGCATTGAGCCACGGGGACACCGCCACTCGGCCGCGTCGGGCCGCGCACGCCAACACCAACGGGGCCTCGAGGGCCTCGCCACGCGTTGCCGCGCGTCCTCCGCCGAGGCGCGTCTCGGTTCCGGGCGCCGCCGTGCCAGCATGGTGCCAGGGCGCACAGTGGGCCAGAAGACCGGTGGAGGCGGTCAAAACTCCGGACGCGTTTTGAGCTCCAGAGTCGCTAAATAGGACTCGAACCGAACGTGTGACCCCACCAATGGATTGCTATCCGAACGAGGAATCCATTGGTGGGGTCACCCGCTCGGTTCGAGTCCTGTTCAGCGACCCTGGAGCTTAAAACGCGTGTAGAGTTTTGTCCGCCTCCTCTGGCCCACTGTGAGGCGCCCCGCGTGGGATTTGGCTGCGTGCGCGCTTGGCCGCTCCGCTCCGCCGTTTGGCGGGCACGTTTGGGCCACGTGCGACCTTGGAGGACCCTGATACGCCTAGCCAGCCGGCAGCACGCCGGGCCCGGCCCGTGCTTTCGCAGCTCTGTCCCTCTCTCTCTCTCTCTCACTGGAGGGGGACTGCCCACCAGTGCGAGAGAGACAGTGTGGCGGTCCCGGACTGCCCCACCCTGGAGCGGCGTTGGAGCGACGCCACGCCGCCCGAAACAGCGCCCATCTTCCGCGTTGTCGATTCGGCCACTCCACTTCCACTGTCGCCGGATCGAATCCCGGCGCAGCGGGGTTTTCGTTCGCGGCGCCTGCACTGTTTCCTGCCGGGCAGCCGAAACGGAGGTTCGCGCTGCGCGCACTTTGCGGTGTCTCAGCCGATCGGCTCGGCCGCGCGTCGTGGCGGCGTGGCGGCGTGGTCCACTTCCAGTGCCGGAGCGAGCATTGCCTGGCGTTGCCTCGGTCAGTGTCACGATGCCTGGAGCCGCCTGGAGCGGGGCGAGGGAGGGAAGGAAGGGAAGTGGCTGCCGCGAGCCTGCTGCACGTACTCCAACTCGTACTCGCCTCGCACCGGCCGGCACCGGCCGGCATCGGCTACTCGGACCGCAGAACATGCATAGGAACTGGTTCCAGTGCCCGGCGGTTGCCCGTGGCCGCAGTCAGGCGCAGCACTGCACGACCTGATTTAATATGTTGCGCCGGTCGGAGTGTAAAGTTCCAGGCTGCAGGCTCCAGGTACTTGCTGGAGGTGGGTGGCCTGTCCGTGAGCGAGCGAGCGCCGCGAGAGCGAGGTGTCTGCGGCGTGCAGAGTGAGGGGCGGAGGGGTGTCACCGGCCGGACCGCTGGTTTATGTCCCTGCCTTGCGTGTCTTCAGACTATTGTCTGCGTCCAGACCCGGACTAGAGCATAGGGGCGGGGCGGGGGTGTCCGCCGACAGAAGCTAGGACGCGCCCAGCGAGGCCAGAGCCTTGTGGCACGGCGGCACTGTACTCTGCGGGTGGGGCGGCCGAAAACATGACGAAGATGGCCGGTGGCGGATGGCCGGTCCCTGTCGCAGGCCGCAGGGCTCTTCACCGCGACCGGCAGGGCGGGAGGCGCGCGGCCCCGCTCCCCGTTCTCGAGTTGTGCGCGGTCGTTCACCGCCCGGGGCAAGTTCTGCGGACCGGCTCCGAGCCCGGTGCCTGGTGCCGGCCTGCCGCGCGGAGGGTCAATCGGCCCACGCGATGGCGTGATGGCGTGTGTTCCTGGGCCCAGGACCCCGTCAAGTGAACGGCAACGGCACCGCCACGGTACCGCCGCGGGCTGACGGTGACGGCTGACGGGCCCAAAAGGCCAGCCGGCTTGGCGCCAGGCCGCGGACTCGCACTGGTTCAGCCGGCAGGCGGCGCCGGCGTCGCCACCAGAGGGCAGCACTGGGCGGGCGGGCCGAAGCGGCAATGAGCCAGCAATTGAACGTCGTGCGCTGCGCGGTCGCGGTGCGGCCAGCGGGCCAAGCCGAGCAGTGCGGCGTCGCTCCGTCTCTCTCGCACCCGCACGCAAAGCCCCGTAGTGGTAGTGCGAGAGAGACGGAATGAGCATCGTTTGGAATCAGCCTGCAGGCAGCCTGCAGGACGACCGCGGACTGTTGTCACCACTCATTTCAGCTTGGGCTCGTCCTGGCCCCGGCTCGTCCTGGCCCTAGACCCCTAGACATTCTTCACGCTTCGCAGTGTTGCCAGCCACAGTGTGCAACAGCGTGCCGCCACAGCGCCCCATCCGAGCACGAAGACGCCGCACCCGGCCATTTCAGAGGCTGCGACTGACTGACACATCGCCGGGATCGCGTTTTCAAATGCACGCTCTTGCCTTACCAATGTCACGACGTTTCTTAGCTTGGGGAAGCCCAGGTCGCCCAGGACGGCTGTCTGTTCGTCTTTTTTCCCCTCCCCGTCGAAGAGTTATTTATTTTGCACCACGAGTCAACGGCTGCTCGCGCTCCGAGCGCAACGTTCTGTGGGTGAACTTTCGCGTCTCGTCTCAAATTCGCTCGGCAGTGCGCCATTGCAACAAGTGTGCATGGCATGAGCCCTATCGGGTTGCGGCTTGCGGCTTGCGGCGCGTGTCGGGGGAGCTTGAGGGTGGCACGCGCTTCCTCTGTCTCTCTCGCACTCAAGGGGCGTGCCGCAGGGGTGCGAGAGAGACAGGGCACCTTGACAGGAGAGCAGAACTGGGGGGCGCCGTGGCGGTAGGCAACCCAACGCACGCGTCAGCCTCGTGGAGAAGTCCGCCGGGGCCACTAGGCAACCCAGCCAACACCGCGGCGCTCCACTCTCGCAGTCGAGTCGAGAGGATCGAGACGGGGACGGGAGGCTGGCTGGGGATGAGAATGTTTGTGCACGCAGAGCTGTTGTGGAATTTATGTTTGTTTTGAAAATTTTTGGTGTACATGTGTGTTTGTGTGTAAACTGTTCGGATATTGCTTTCTGTATTAATCTAGAGAACAGTTTCTTTGACGAAACGTTCTGTACGTTCGTTTATTCTTAAGCTCTACGTTTCACTTTGGTTTAAAGGAATGCTTTGCAATTGAGGTTATGTTTATATTTTCTAGTAGAGAGCATCATGTTTAGCAAGCATGATTCCTCTAGAGAATCTGGATTTTTTCATGTTCATATTTGTGATTGGATGTGGCGCCTATCTGTGTTTGATGCTCCTACTGCTAGCATGTTTCCTCAGGAAGTTCTCCCCTTTGACAACGGAAAACTTGCCAGCTTACAGTCAGCCCATGGAGATGAGGCCAGTGCAAACCTACACTCTGCCTGACGCACGACAAGCACAGCTGTACAGATGCCAGGGGGCGAGGTCCAATAGGAGCTTGAGCTCCTCAAGACCTCAAACACATAAGAAACGTAAGAAGATACTAGTCATGAGACGCCCAGATATTTCTCAAATGGAACGACTAGCCACATTGTAGTAATTTCATTTGGTTTTAGCTTGTTTGTAACCACGCTCAATTTATTTTGTTATGACCAAAGATATTGCAGAGAAGCACCCCTTGGTGGCTCTTTGCAAATTCCTGACCAGTGATAAAGCATGAGATAATTCCTGTTTATTATGTTACGGATATAGTAAATCTGTGAATTCCCAGAGCTTGTATTTTCATGTACAATGCTTTTTTAAAATTTTGAGACTTTTCTGTCACACATTATGGGTTGAACATTCAACATCAAATATACGATACTTTTATGATTTTCCTCATTTTTCAACTCTATTATCTAATATCAGTGGAAAATGAAATCGCCTCATCGTCAATTCTCCTCTTGTGGCTGGCATAACTATGCAGTTGTTGGGTCAATTGTGAGTCATTACCTTAGTGCTTAAGTTGGTGCTTGTTGACGTGAATGATTGCAGTCTGTGGATACTGGGTTCACAGCACATAGCTTTCCTCTGTTGACAATCTTCCAAGCAGTTATAAAATGATTCAATCCTGTGCCATGTATTTCACTTTACTATTTTCATAATTTATGTATATATAATCAAGGACTGCCCACTTTATACTATTATCATTAAATTGTTGTCCATATGTTGTCTGTATTATATAAGAATGAATTTTAAGTTTTAACTTTAATGAGTAGTTATTCTGACTGATTACGTTCCTGCAATGTCCAATTTCCCAGTGCCAATACTGTCTTGTTTAATTCAGTATTACTACTTATCACTCTTTAGACTGATCAATATGGATTTAACACGGAAGTCCAAGTTTTAGCTGGTCTCTCCTGACAATGTATTAATGTGAAGAATCATGGGGCTGGTATTAGTGCTGCCTACTAGTGCTTGAATCATTGTTAATCTCCACCTCATGGTTTCTCCAACATTGATGTGATAATTTTGTTTCTTGTTATGATCACAGCTTGAGAGAGCTAATTCAAACAAATGTATATCTTACTCTAAGTTGATCCCTGTTACGTCCCTCACTGTTACATTTATTTGTTAAAAAAGTTTTGGTTTTGTAAATATATTAGTACGTTCTGCCTTGCTCAAGTTTTGTTCAGCTTAATTGCAAGCTACTTCACTGTACAGGTCAATGCAAAATTTGAAAGCACCATCTTGTGCTGGTGTTTTGATGACTAGTTTTTATTTTTGCATATGTCTGTAGTAACTCCAATTTCCAGCTTGCAAGGAATCATGTGTATGGTACAAATGTTAATAAAATCATGAAGATAAAGGAAAAAAAGCCTACATTTTATCAAATTACCATGATACAAAAACAATCACATAAAATTTCCAAAAGAAAAAAAAACACCAAAATGTCCACAGGTTTTGCCCCTGAGGAACTCACTGGTCCTCATCATCACCAGTGATAACACCACTAAGAACGAGATTAATGGCAGCTTGAACATCGCCACCTGTGATGGAGAGGGCATGCAAATTAACCACATCGTCACGCAGCCCCAGGTCATGCATTTGTTGGATTTGCTGAGGCTGGGAAAGCGGTGCAAGGGGTGCAGCACTGCTCTGTAACAAAAGACATATTTGTTACAAGAAATTATTGTACTAAACCACTTTTAAAAATTTCCAAGCTTGATACTAACTTGGGATGCAGGGAATGGTGGAATAGGTGGGGGTGGCATCATGGGTGAGCTGGAAGATGAACTGTGCAGATTGCTTGCTACGGCCAGAGCACTCTGCAGCATATCAGAGGTGATTACGGAACCAGAGCTACTTCCTTGTCCAGAGGAAGTTGAGGCTTGTGAGGGACCTGACAGCGAGCTGGAGAACGGTGGGAATGCACCTGCTGCAACCACTCCCTTACATTAGAACTTGAACTAATTTCCATTTCTATGTCTGAGTGAGGTAAAAGACACTTACCTGTCGCTGATGCCAAAGCTGCTGCCAGCTGTGAACTTGTGATGTGGCCTCGAGTTCCATGAGATGGAACAGAATCTGAAGACTGAAAGGACATGAAAATATAATTAATATTAAAGGAAGTTTGGACTTGACACATGTATAGGACTATATAAATTACCTGAGATGAATCCATTTCTTCATCATCTGTGAAGTCCTCCATGTGGTAAGGGTAATTGTTGTCATTATAGTTGACAGGGTGAGGGGTCGTACTTGGCTTTGCCGCTTCCTCTTCAACTGCTTTGGCGATATAGTTGGCTGTTTCAGCTAAGGCAGGATGAAGTTGAGCCATTCTGCAACAAAATTTTAAGCTGAAGGGCAACTGTAAATGCAGTGCAGACAAAGCATGAAATTAATTGAAAATGAACCTTTTAGCTGTAGCCTGGTCTGCCATACGTTCCATGAGGATAGGGTCTTGCAAAATAGCAATAGCTACTGGATCATCTACTAAAGCTGGTGTGACCATTATCAGATTCTCTATTTGTGAGGGTTGCTTCATCATTTCCTAGAAATGGACGAAGTCGAAATGAGGATCTCAAAACCATTCAGGCGGATGTTGCTTTGTAAGGGATAACAGAGACTTACATGCAGTGTATTGCTGTAGGCTGGATCAAGAAAAATTACAGTAAATGTACCAGCAAGCTGTTTAACCTGGGCCTCAGTCATTTTTTCCACTTGTTTAGAAAAATCTGAAACCAATACAAACCCACAAAAGTTAAATATCAATTCAATTGTAACAAATTCGATGGAAATGTCAGGAAAATCATGAATACAAACCGTTAGGGACATGCTTCTTTAATACGTGAACAGTGACACCAGACTGTAAGTTGCACTCAAAAACTGAGTGGTCATCTTCTAATAGATTTCCACAATAGGACAACTCTGTGAAACAAACAGCAGCATAAAAAATAAGTGCATGGCACAACTAAAGTATGACTTAACAAAGCCTGAAAGCTTACCCAGACTTTCCATGGGCAGATTTGTAAGTTTGCCAGCTTCTACTTTCAAGTCTCCAATTTTAGTAGAGAGGTTGATATCATTTAAAGTGACACGTTTATAGTTTCCTGGTGAAGTTCTCACGCCTAGGTGAATTCTTAATGCCATTTTATAGCCAAGAGAATGAATGAGCTCCTTTCAGAAAATGATCTAATTTTATCTGACCGTTTGACCCGTGACCGCTTTATCGCTGGCAATTAAAACTGATGTAAAATTAGCAAACCCACAGATCTATTGAAAAGATGAACGACAAAAAGTAAAACCAAAAGCCTTAGAAAATAGCACGAATGTACAGATAACACAAGACACAAGTCATGTACAAGTTGAGTTGACGTCTTGCCTTGCCCAACAACACAACAACAACAATCCTCAGCCTTGCATAAATATGCCAAACGGCTCGCTGCAGTCTCCTACCAACCTGAGCGAAAAAACCTTATGGCCGATTTAACATACTTAGAGAACACGACTTAAATATATTTACCCTTAATTCAGTTTTTATAATTATTTCTCTTCACTGCCATATTTTTAAATCATGTCTATATCTACTTTCAGTTTTTTCTTCTTTGTTTGAGTGTTTGCAGCCCTTCGAAAAACTCAATCCGGGAACCGGAAACGTTCCCCTGGTCTTCAGTTTCTCTACGTAGGTTGCACCGAAACACCAGAAACATGGCTGATGTAAGTTAAAAGTTTTCCGATATTTACGGGGGCATCTTAGTTTTGCAAGCGTCACTCAGTTGAAATTTGACAAATTTAGGATCTTTGTTTATTGTTCATGTCTTCAGTTTAGCTCCGTCTAATGTACCGATGCCTCTAGGTTAACTTATCGCTACTGCTGTATCCCGTGGCGGACGCTTCTGGCCCCCCTTTCTCGCAGCGTTTGTTTATTTTTCGGTGTCCGTATTAGCTGCTAACATTTAAATTTGAGCTCCGCATTTCAATCTTTACATGTAGGCTGTATTCATGGCCTCTAGCTCTACTACCTCTCTGTGACAAGTTGTTTACCTCGAATGTTGATAGGTTAGGTTTCACCGTGTACTTTGCCGGTTGGACATGTACGCGCTCCGCCCGTGTCCTTTTATGTTGTGTCTAACTACCATGGTTTTTAATTGCAGGTCGATGATGGAACGAAGAAGAAGAGGACCTTCAGGAAGTTCACCTTCCGGGGTGTGGACCTCGACCAGCTTCTGGATATGCCAGCGTAAGTTATCATTTTGTCTCTTCTGTTTTTTTGTTTTTTTTTACCCATGTCTGAAGTTTATAAGCCAACTTCTATGTAAAATGCTGCCATGTCTTTAACTCTGTTCGATCTCTTTCAGTGAGCAGCTCATGGAGCTGATGCATGCTCGTGCTAGGAGGAGGTTCACCCGTGGTCTTAAGCGCAAGCCCATGGCTTTGGTCAAGAAGCTGCGCAAGGCCAAGAAGGAGGCTCAGCCCAATGAGAAGCCCGATGTTGTGAAGACTCACCTGCGCAACATGATCGTTGTCCCTGAGATGGTCGGATCCATTGTGGGTGTGTACAACGGTAAAACTTTCAACCTGGTTGAAATCAAGGTAAGCTTATTCACCACTGATCTAGAGAATTGTGCTGTCATCTACACTGTTACTTATTTTGTTTGTCTTGCTTATTTCAGCCCGAAATGATTGGACACTACCTGGGTGAATTCAGCGTAACCTACAAGCCTGTCAAGCACGGAAGACCCGGTATTGGTGCCACCCACAGTTCTAGGTTTATTCCTCTTAAGTAAGGTCTCAAAATTTGTGTGCTCTTTAAAATCTTTAATAAATGTTTTGAAGAAGCATATTTATTTGGTGTCATTTGACTCCTTGCTAATTCCGTGGGTAATTTACAAATACTAAATGGCTTTATCATCCATTTAATTTATTTTGGGATATTAAACATTTGAACATTAATTTATTCTATCTGAACATTTTGAGCAAGGTCCACTTTTCATTTTATTATGCAACTTCTGGATTTGTTCCTCGCGCATAGTTGTTAACTTCTTCATGCAATAGGCCAAAGGCAGTTGAAAAAGATGTTCTGGGAATGAGTCTTGAATTTTGTTAGATCCAGTTCCCTGTAATTCAAAATAAGGGTAGCTACTGGTCTCGTAATCATTGCTCGAAATTGCGTAGTTTAAACTTACCTGGATCTCATCTGCCATGCTTAGAATTACAGACACATCATTATAAATTAATTTTAAAGCATTTCTAAGCATCAGATTTTCATCAACAAGAATGCAGTTCACTGCTTTCAGCCTTTGGAGAGTTGATTGTAGCAGTATAGTTTCATCAGGTGCCCTGGGAAAAAAGTAATCATATATGAGCAAATTTGGGAGGGTTGTTTATGACCCCCAACTACTGTAGTATAACCAACCAACATACCTGTCTTGAATCTCCAAAGATCCAAGACCTGAACTGACTCTTTCAACACAGACTGGATGCTGATACTTGAGCATACCTGTAAATTATAGAATTTAAAGACAGTTCCAACTCTATATTGCACTCAAGGCATGTAAAGAGCCCTTCCTTGGCCTGTCCCTTACCTACACCAATAGACTTCCGAACTTTCTCCCTCAACGCATCAAATTGTGCTTCCTGTTTTCTACTGTCATGTTTGAAGTCTCTCTCTTGTATTTCCAGTCGGGCCAGTAACTCTGCAATCTATTCACCCAAACTTAAAAAGTAATCTCAATTGTTTGAAGATGGGCAAAATGTCACAATTTTACCTCATGTTTCTGCTTTTTGATAGTGTCTCTCAGATTTTTTTGATCAGCTTCAATTTTTAAGAGGGTGATTTCCTTCTTAGCCAGCAACTTCTCCTTGGAGTCAATTTGACTTCTCAGTTGACCCAATTTAGACTGAAAATAGAGAGGGCTGAATTGCATGGCTTGATCATAAGGGTTACTTTACTCAGATGTGGCACTTACTTCCAAAGATTCTTTCTCACTGAGTAACAATGCTTCCCTGTCTGATGCATGCTTGCTCTCATGGAGACCCATTGCGCCACAGTGTACTAAATTGATTAATGCCCATGAAGTACTTAAAAGACAATCACTCAGCTCCATTGTATTGCGGCAACTGTTAAATGTGGGCTTTAGGCCAAGTGATTGCAATTCCTAAGGGAGGCAAAAATGTAAAGTTAACAAGACACGTTTAGATTATACAAAAGTAACTAAGCAATATTTGTGACAAATCAGTTATTTGTTACCTACCATAGTCAGGTCATTCAAGGACATTTGCATTTCAGAAGTAATATTTCCAGCAGCCATCGTCATCCAGAGAAAGTACAGGTGGCGACAGGCTAGACAGGTTAAGTACATAGAATTATGCTGCTCACTCAAAGTCTGGATCAGGTTATTTTTCTGCCATTGTAACAAATTAACCACGTTGGTAGAGTTCTATGCCTCGAAGTTCTCTTGAGGTTAATTGCCAGCCACAACTTGCAGGTGAACAATGTATACAACCAGGATTTCACTGATCAGCTGGTTCCAAATTTGGGCGCGTAAAACTCTGGTCGTGTGCAGGCTGTGCAACAGCGCAAACCATCGCATATCCCCGAAGAGATCTAGTTCCATGTTTCAACATAAGGACTAAAAAACTGAATTCTTCGCTAGATCCTATTTAGAGTTATATGGAATCATTTGCCCCAGCACACATTATGACGCAAGCCCGTGAAGTCACGTACAGGCGAAAGATATTTGGTGTTCGTAAGTTGCCGTCCCGGAGGCTAAATTTGGCATGCAAAACAAACGGCTTCTGCTTGCATTCTGCTGCCGTTCTGTTATTTTAGTTAGGATTTTCGGCATTTCTTTCACAGATTTGGATCGGGGATTCTGTACATTTTGCTCTGGCGTTTAGTACGAGAGTAGCCAGATTGATCCCCGGAGATGTCGTTGTTTGCCTTGCGTGCAGGCAGTGTCCAGGAGCCGAAATACGAAGGAGAGGACCTGAATGAAGATGGTAACGTGTAACACTTCTCCGGCTTATTGCAGCCTCGCCGGCGGCTCTGTTGTTTGTCTCCGTTCATGAAACCAAGAACGGCGTACCTTAAGAGCTTGTTCTCCAAAATTTAGAAATTGACATCTGAAACTTTTAACAGTACAGTGTAGTTGATATTGCCAAAATGATGTTATATCATCATGAGGCTGTCCCTGTTCTATTGCTTTTAATGATGTTTTGCACCATGGGTGTGAAAGTTAGACACAATGTTGTCATATACACTCATTCCCTTTCAATGAATGCTGTATTTCTTTTTGGTACGCTTTCCACTTTCATGCCTAAGCACTACCTAAGCATGTTCAACGAGGCACTTCTTGGCACAATGCCAAACTCTGAGATGTTTCTGTTTTTAGCTCTCAAAAATTTCCCTGTCTGTATTAATTTATGTAAAACCTTATTTTAAAATAAGGTTTCAACCGGTGGCAAGTTTATTGAGCTTCTAAACAATATTTCTAGAAGTTTGCTATTTTGTTACAGCATTTACTATTTTTGAAAGTAGTGTTTTAAGATAGGCCTACTATGTTGCCTAATGTAATTTTCTTTAATGCAGGAGAACCATTCAGCCAGTGGTCATATCTCCCAGATCTTATTTTAGAGCAAGTTTTTGCTCACCTCAGTATAAGTGAGCGCTATGCAGCTTCCCAAGTGTGTAGGAATTGGTACTATGCTTTTTACCTCCCAAACACTTGGTCAACATTTGTGCTTTCTGACACAACTTTGACAAGGCGTAAATACAATTATTATTCAGGATGGCAGGTACTCTTTCTTCCTTTCCCAATTACCTTGATACAAATTTACTTCTTAAAATTATTTTTTGTGTATGTATTTTTTTTTTCAATTTTTCAGCATATCCTGGACCATGTAAGGATGTCCCAATGTCTCTGCAAAGTAGGATTCAATTTCAGAAGTCTGATTTTTGAGCCTATGCTTAATTTTTACAATCTATTTGAGTTTATGAATATGATGTCATTTTTCACGGAGCAACAAGGACTAGACAATACAACTGTGAGTGGTGTTGGTTCAAAGGTTCATACTCTACGCTTCACATTTCCATGTAACATGGCTGCAGATGATAGGGAAAGGTGTCGACTTTATGGAACTGGAGGTACGCGTTATTGCTGAGGGAATAAAACGCACATGGACAAACATTTCAAGAAAATTTATATTACAACTTTAATTTTCAGGTAAATTATTGGAAGCACTAAAACGGTTGATGGGAAATCTAGTATCCCTTCAATATTTAGAGCTGCGAGACCTTATGCTGGACATCACTGAGGGTCAAACTCTTTTAGATGAAGTGTGTGCAACTTGTAGTCTCACCCTGAAAGAATTAATCCTTGTAAATGCTACAGAAGCACCTTGTCAACTTTTACATGTTGGAATTTTCCTTAATTTACAGGTTTGTTCAGTTTGGCCTTCAAATTATTTTTAAAAATAAAATTGGTATTGCTGCTAAAGATCTGATTTTTTTTTAGGTTTTGGTTATTAGCCCTCAGAATTTGGGAGAGGATGTTTTGTCTCTCATAGGACAGACTAGGCTTCGTCATCTGCATATTTTACAAAACCGTTTCACTCCCTCTGAGTTAATCCTACTCCCTGTATCAGGAAGAGCCTGGCAGCTTTGCCGCAAATCCAACACACACTTGTCTGTTCACTTGGAACTTGAATCTCCAAGAGAAAGAGAAGTCATATGGCAGGAAAGAGCTCCAGTTAGATCCATCATTTACAATTCTCCCCTAGCAAAGGTGTTACATGTATTATAATAATTTATTGGTTTGTGTATATGCTTATCTTTTTAACTTATTTTTATGAATATTATTTTTAGGTCCAATCAGAGTCAATAATGACTACAATTGATCTGTATGCTAAAGACCTGAGAGCGTATGGGCACCTAGGACTTCCTCGATTCCATCGCTCGAGGTCTTTCCATGATAGAGTGGATGCCCTGCTCCTCCTCCTTGTCCGACAGTCTGTGTGGCTCCACACCTTGGTAATAGGAATGCTAAGAATACACCTTGCCCTGAGCTGTTGTCTGCATCCTTTATGATGGCATTGTTGTACCTGTTGACCTCTGCTCTTAGTGTGCCTAGCATGGCTTTCATGCCCCACTCACTAACACATTATGCCTTTCCTATGTAAGTATGCTCTTATTCTATTTAAGTTTGAACATAACTAGTGAATTGTACTTTCATAAACTACAGACTGAATGGCTTTCTTGATCCGCCTCGTCCAAAAATATGCAATATGGTATAGACATTTACAACAAGGCCGCCTTTCAAACCAGCCTAATTTTTTTTCTTTTTTTCCCCCACTCCCTAGATTGTCCGGGAACGTGTGTCAACTGCAACTGTCTTACTTCTAGCTAAAGCTGGTAGAAATTTAAAAAACTTTGTCATCCGACGTAATGCTGTGATTCTTCGCTGTGATTGGCCTAGAAGCCCAGACTGGGATGATGAATTTCATCAATGGTTGCAAGTGTCTGCTAGGTCCTATGATGCCACTGAAAAGGAGGTTTCTCAGTTGCTTGGTTTTAAGTGGTGTATGCTGAGTGACAAGCAGTTCAAGGCCCTGTCTGTTAATGTTCATAATTTAAACTAGAAAATGAAAAATTTTATGATATGCAAGTCTGAGTGTTTTTGAGTTGGTGGTCAATTATATTGTTCATTTAAATATACTAGCCTTCTGTGTAGTTTTCTGTAGTTGTCCAAAAATAATTTTTCTATTAGAGTCTTAATTAATAAATGAGATGTAAAGACCAATACTGTATAAGCAATTAGTCCGCATGCAAAGTACCCTTATCCTAATCTTAATTGAAGGCTGATTTTGTTTTGTCAGCAAATGTAGGATTTTTGCCCCTTTGTTTGTTGTTTTTTTGGCGGGTGTGTTATTTTATTTTTTAAATATAAGACAAATTTCTCTGGAGATCCTGTGAGTTTTTTTTTCACTGCTACACCTTGTACCCTGCTGAGTCCAGCACATGCCAAACTGCATGATTCGCGCTGACGAGGGCACTCTCGATGCACAAATGCACACGCTCGTCGGAAACAACAATATAGTCCTGACGGGGCGGTCTAGGAGGGCAGCAACCGTCGGCCCGGGCCAGTATGTGACCGTGGGGTTCTGCGTCGTTGACTTCCTCACACAGTATTTTTGGCGGGGCCTCCCTTCAGGCGTTTCCCGAGGAAAAGGGGGAAAGGGGGGGGGGCTGTTAGGTCTTCCCTGGCTGGACACGCCAAAGCCAATATTTCAAATGGAAACTGGGAGCAGAACATTCGTGGGCCTTCCCTCAACTACAGGTGCGGATCCAGGCGCACTGATCTAGAGCTGAGATGACCACGCCGTGTTCGCGCACTGCGCAGGTAACTCTCTTGCAGAGACTCCCTCATCGCATCCGGAGACTTCAACTAGGGGCGTTCGTGGGACAAGGACGCCGCGGACGCGGCACGCCGTCGTGACGGTCTAGTGACTCGGCCTCCACGGAGCCTCGCCTGGCCTGCCTGGCCACGCCGCGCAGCTCGTCCGCATATGCATTCGGTTGCATTCGCATGAAAATGCAGTCGGCGGCCCCGCGGCCCGAGCCATGAGAGCCATGCACGGATCGGATCGGGTGGCCGGCCGGCCGGGCGGGCAGGCCCATCCCGCGGCATGCCCGCCATGCCCATGGCGTGGCTGCGATGGCTGCGGGCCCAGGGCGTTGCCACCTGTGTTCTGTGTTGCCGGCTGCTGGAGTGGAGACCCACCCAGCGCCCAGCGACGGTGTGGCGCTATCTCTCTCGCACCTGCCGCGGTGCCTGCGAGTGGGAGTGAGAGCGAGAACGAGTCGGCTCCGGAGCGGCTCCCCGCCCGACCGCCTGTGCCGCCTGTGTTCCCGCCCGACGCCTCGTCGGCTTGGGGTGCGTCCGGAAACGCCACCCGTCTCTCTCGCTCTACAGGCAAGGCCGCTGGCGAGCGACAGAGAGCGTCGCGGCGGAGCGCCCAGCGCCCGGCGTACCCCCTCCGCTTCTTCAAGCTGAGCGAGCATCAGCCCCTGCCCTCGGCCCCGCCGCCCCCTCGCCCTCCGCGCCGCTCAGCTCCGTGCCTTCCAGCAAGCCTTCCAGCAAGCCAGCAGCCAGCAGCAGCAGCAAGCCCAAGCAGTCAGTCGTCAGTCCGCCTGCCAGTTTGTTTCCAGTCGCCGGCTTGGGCCTTCGGTTGTTCGGTTGAACCGTGACCGTTCTGGGTGCTGTCAGAGTGCAAGTACCCGCCGCCGGACGTGCTCGTCGGCCAGTGTGTTGATTCTGATTCATCGCGGACACTCATCGTCGCCCAGCTTGGACATGTCGGCGTTCGTGGGCTGCCTCGTGGCGGTGCTGGCCTGCAGCAGCCTCGCGCAGGTGAGTCGAGTGGGACTCTGTTGGACCATGAAGCGAGGCATGGAGCCGCTGGATGGGCAGGGGTTTGTAGTGTGGGGCCGGGCCGGGGCCGCTGGATGGGCGCATCTGTGGCGAGACGAGAGGCGAGCCACCTTGGGATGCTCGAGCGTCGGCCTGGCCAGTGGGACTTGGGACGGGCTTGCCCACCTCCACCTCGGCGTGGGAGGGATGCGGACGACGGCCTGATGCGTGGTCATGCTGGTCCTGCACCCCACGACTGCCATGACGACGCCGTGACCATGGCGGTGCTGTTTATTGGCCTGCTGCGAGGTGAGGTGTTTGACCTTTCGCCGGGGAGGAGCAGGCGGCGGGGCAGGTGGTGGCTGGAGGGGGGCCAAGCCATGGGCCAGCAGGGCCGGCAGGGCCAGCGCTAGGGACGCCGGTGGGTTGCAAGGCCCACGGCCAAGGCATGCAGTGCATGGCCTTGGAGCTCCTCGAGGCCAAAGGCGAAGGGGCGAAGCGGCGCAGGTAACCCGGCAACCGCGTCACCGCGGCGCGGTGCGGCGCGTCGTAGTCGCGGCCTCCTGGCCGCCTCCAAGCAGAGGGTCCGGGCGTCGCAGCGTCGCGCCGTCGCCGCCGAGCGAGAGCGTCGGCGTCGGTATGCTAAACAGCAAGGACCGAGGGCCTGGCCGTTTATCGCCGTCTTGCCGTGCCCTGCCCCGCCCTGCCGTGCCCTGCCGTGCCCTGCCGCGGGCTGCCGTGTGCCCGCAGACACTCTCCCTCTCTCTCGCACCGAAACGGAACGCCCCACGCGTGCAAGAGAGACAGAGCGACGAAGGTTCCCGGCCCTTTCCCGGTTTGCGGTTCCTGGCTGGATGGGGGCTTTTTGGGGCACACTTGCAACACCCCGGAGGGGGGAGCAAGTAGCACCAGTGTGCAGGCGGCTTCATGACGGTGGTGGATAAGCATCTACTGTACTGTGATACGTGGGGGTCAATAACTCTTGGGATTACTCTTGCCAGGTAGCAGGCCGGATAAACAAATGGGGAAGGGCCGGGGTTGCGACCGGTATTTGAATAAATCTCAAGCCACTCCAGGAATGGGTAAAAACGAGCCATAGCACCCGTCCTTGAGTGCTGCAAGTTCTGGCTGCCGCACTGCCGCGCGAATGACTGTCCTGTACAGCACCGCGGCACCGCGGCTACGTTGACTACTTTCCTTTCCCTCCGCGTTGAAGGCCCCCGGAGCTGCAGGTGCAGACAGGTGCAAGTGCACCAAGCCGCTTCTTCCTCGTCAACGGAAGCCGGAATGGGACAAGGCCTCGCAAGATCCAGTCAGCTAGACTCCGGGGGAAGGGGGGGATTCAAAAATTGAGTCACGGCGTTGCGGGATGTGGGGGCAAGGAACCTTTTCAAGGGCAAAAAGGGGAGGGAAGGGGGCAGTGCGACGAAGAAGTTTGGAACCAACCCGCAGAGATGTGTGCAGCGTGACATTCTCCATCACTAGCGCCCCTCCCCCTTTCCCGACCACTCCACTGGTTAGGTACACGGCCTGTGTGTAACGAGGGCACCGAGAGTGGTATTGCCGAGGTACGGGACGCTGCGAGACGGTGACAGCTGATCCGACTCGGTGCCTTGCATCATCGCAGGCCGGTGTTCACATAGATTTCTTAACGTGTAGTCGGTTCATGGTGCACAGCCCATGCCGAAGTGAGCCGTTCCACATTTTAGGATTTTGGGGGAATGACCAGTGGCTCAGCTGTTCAAAAATAAATGTGAATTGGAATTGCTTACGTGTGTTTCTGTTCCAGGCTGCCGATCCTGTCCCCGTGACTGTGTACTACGAGTCCTTGTGCCCGGACAGCATTAAATTTTACATCAACCAACTGTACCCAACTATGGAGAATGCCAATTTGTCAATGAATGTTGAATTGCAATTGGTGCCCTACGGTAAATCAACTGTAAGTAGTTTACCACTCCATTCCAACATTATGTTTTAGAGTGGTGTTCCTTGTGTAATATGTTTGGTTTCTGTTCCAGCAAGAGAAGCTTGAAAATGGTACCTGGGCCTTCCAATGTCACCATGGTGAACGAGAATGCTATGGTAACAAAGTGCAAGCCTGTGCTTTGAACTTGTTGACCAGCAAGAATGAGCGACTCCAGTACCTCAACTGTCTGTTGAAAACCATGCTTGACAACAGGGGTGCTGTGTATCCTACTAATGAGGTAAACATTTAATGTTCTCCTATTTTCTAGCATTGTATCCTTTTTTTAATATTTAAAAGAAAGAAAAAAACTAATTTTGGGTTTCAATTTCAGTGTGCGAACCAGATTAATATTGCAGAGAAAGCTGATATTATTGATTGTGCTAATAGCACCAAGGGAGATGAACTTTTAGCAGCAATGGGAAACAAGACTCAATTGTTCATGGCCAAGTTAACCAGCGTACCAACAGTTGTGTTCAACAATGTAAGTAGCTGCTGTGCTGAGGCTGATCATCTTTGAGGATTGTTTTACTCAGTTCTTTTCTTATTTTCCCTCTCCTTCAGAAATTTGATGCCAATGACCAAAAGCAAGCTCAGACCAACTTCAAGGGAGTTCTGTGCAAGTACATCTCGGATCCTAAGCCAGCGGAGTGTGCAGGAACAAGCGGAGCTGCTTCCATCAGCACTTCATTATTTGTCATTTTTGCTACCATTTCACTTTTCTTCAGTCAGTACTTCTAAACTTAAATTTTTTTTAAATACCCTGTAATAAATTTAACTGTCCTCCTTGTCAACACAAAGGCAACACTCTCAAAATGGATCATTCAGTCAAGATCTGTAAATAATGTAAAGATTTGTGCGATGTTAGGCCCACCAGTAAATTGATATACTGTATAGCTTTATTTTTACAAATAAATCTCCATTTCTACATCTGCTTTTCTCTACTTTACTTCTCAGACCTTGATTTAATGAAGTTGTACTGCAGACAAGGGATGTTACTCAAAACACTAGTTAGAAAAAAGAATAATTTCTTTATTAACAGATCATGTACATATCAATATAAAACGGATTCAGTTTAAAATATAGCTGATGTACAGTACTGAAAATTTCACTTTGGGAAAGCACCCATGGAGCAAGAAATAGAGAACATGGAGTAAGTGCTTTACCATGCGACAGAAAAGGCAGAGGGCCCACAACCACACAACTTTGATACTGAAATGAAATGCAATTATTAGCACATAATCTTTAAGAAAAACACAAAGTTTCAGGGAAGGAAAGCGTCAAGAGAACCCACCCCAGGCCTCAAATTTCAATGAAAGTAAAAACCTAGCCTAACAAATTTGCACTATCAGGCAATGCCCATTTTGAAGAAATTGGACACATGTGGAACTAATTATCTAATTCAATCCTGCAAGCATGGCTACATTTATTGCCATCAGTACAGATTGCGAGTGTATCAGTCTTATATCCAACTCATCTAGACGCCCTTGATGTTAATATAGTGCACCAAAGTCTAGATGGGTTGTCCGGCTATTTGCTTTGACCAGATTTTTATATATCCATATTTATTGCAGATGAATTTAGAAGGTATTCTGGGAACACAGTGCCACAAAGGAAATTGGACAAAAAAATTGCAACAAAATACATTAATTTTGAGTTGATTTGCTCAATCTAGAGAAAGTTGGGCCTGATGGAATTGAACTCGACATCTTGGTAATTTATAGAATCACACAGTGGACATGTACGTCACAGCAAATCAGAATCTGTGGCAGAAAAACTTTACCAGATTTAAAAATTTTTAACAGAAAATGAGCAAAATGCCCTAAGGAAAAACAGAACAAACCACTAGTTAAAAAAAAAATGAAGGGGAAAAAAAGAGGAAGATGTGGAACATGGTTGTTGCTTGTGTAATTTCAGATACTGTATCTCAACAAAGATTTTAAAAAATTGAAAGCTAATTGGAATACCATACTTTTAACATTTGTACATTAATTTAACTAATTTATGTACAATATATCTAGAGGTTCACAATTGTACAAATAAAACAGTAAGGAACGTAGGCTATTCTACCAGGGTTCGAGAACAGTCTAAAGGCTTCACCTCATCCAGATTTTGATACAACTTTTAAAAAAATACATTTGCGAGTATGAGTGTACTTGCAGGTACAGTTCCATTTCCAAACAAATCCCTTGATGGTTACAAATAAACAATAAATAAAAGATATATACAAGTGCAAATTGTCAATACTATCACTGAAATACATATTAACACCATTTGGTTTCGATCAACTAATAACAACAGCATGTCATTTGCCAAAAGCATTCATTACAAAACAAAAAGGATGCCAGTAAAAATAATTTAATAAATACCTGTTGACATACAAAGCCATAAAAATTTTGAGATACCTTTCCACAAAGGTAAAATGACAGATGTCCTAACTTAATGATGTCAGCACAACACAACAAGCTCTATTCTAACAGTTATGTCATTCTAAATGCTTCAAGACGAAACACATACAAATATTCAAGTTAGTTGCATGATAGGAGTTTTATGGACAAAGTTATGAAAAATGCAGTCAATTCAGAAATAAACAATGACACTTTGGTACGTAGTACTGGAATGCAAATAGGTCTCTTCCAACAAATTCTCCTAACAAGGTTTAAGTACAATTGATGTTACAGTTGATGTTAAAATAAACATAGCACATAAGGAGAGGTGACCAATCTCATGTTACTGGACATTTCTCGAGTTGAGAGAAAATCTATTTCCATAAAGCATCTTAAATGGTAAATAAAGAAATACACACGGCAACTTTAAGCAAGATTTATTAACAAACATGTTCATTCTAAAATGACAGTAAGCAAAAATCACAGAGAACAAACTAATGAAAAATGAAAAAAAAAGAACGGTACAAAAAAATAATATCTTTCCTAGAATTAAGCGATTAACATCAACTAAAAGTGTTAAAATTTCAGGAGAACTGTTGTTGTGATTGCTGTGGCAAATGACATACTATGAAGAGTTGTTTAAGCTTAGCTAATTCAGTCATAGAAAGATATACTGAACAAGACAAGCAGTAACACATTAACAGTAACACATTCGACCGTCAGTGTGTATGCATACACAAGGCCTATTCAAAAGTTTGAGCACAAAATTAGTGATAGACGTGACGAACCATTTCATTAAATCTCATCTCAGATTAAATTAAAGTTACTGGTTGCAACGGACAGAAAAACGGTGTACGAGGGAACGAGGCTCAGGCTTGATCACTTCACCGGAAATCACGTTGCTCGCGATAGGCGCGCGCAGTTTGGCATACAGTGTGTCACGCACACTCACGAACGGCAACGGCACTAGAGGAAGGGCGACGGCCAACCCGCGGACGAGGACGACGACGGCGACGTCCCCCAGTCCACTTGCCCGACCATGGACTTGTGCAGGTACCAGTCCATGCCAGTCTTATCACAGCCAAGGGGGTCCAGCCAGGAAGCGGCCGCGGGGGCGTGCGCCACTACACTGCTTGCACTGCCACCCGCGCCGCCGCCGGGGGACGACGTCAGGGACGACGTTAAGGACGACGTCAAGGACGAGGAGGGCATGGCCAACGGCCAGCCGGCGTAAGATGAAGAGGCGGAGGAGGCCCCGCAAGACGCGCCGCATGGGGCGCCGCGAACCACACAGTCCCAGTGCATGCCCTGCTGCATGCCCTGCATGCCCTGGCCTGGCATACCTTGCACGCCCAGGCCGCCCAGCGAGCCCATGCCCAGGCCAGAGCCCAGGCCGGAGCCCAAGCCGGAGCCCAGGCCGGAGCCCAGGCCCGTCGAGCACGCCCCAAGCGGGGTGCCCATGGGGCCCAGGGGGCTGCCGGCCAGGCTGCCTGCCAGGCTGCCGCCCGAGCCGGCCGCGCTGCGGTACGACGCGGGCGACGTCGACGGCAAGCTCCCGTACGAGGCCGGCGACGAGGACGCCACGCGGCCGTACGGAGAGGCCGACGGGAAGCCGCCGTACGACGCGGTGGCTGGGGACGGGCACAGCCCCGGCGTGAGCACGCCGTGCGCGCCGTAGGGCGAGGGCGGTGTAGGGGTGGTGGTCGCGGCCCCGCACGGGGCGGGCCCCGCGGGGGGCCAGTCCTAGCTGGTGCGCTTCATCTTGGCGGGGGGCTCTTCGGCACTGGACACGCGCCGCGGCGTGAACATGTACTTCATCTGCGGCATGTACTGCATCACGTCCTTCACCTGCACCAGCGGCACCACGTCGCTCGTCGACTGGCACTTGCCGGCCTCCTTCAGGATCGCCATCTGCTGCCTGCGGACCACAAGGAACGCGTTATACTGGAGTCCAAACATTTCACGACCAGCCACCAAAAAACTTTGCTCTCACAACACTCACCTGTTCCCTCTGTACAAGTCTAACCTAAGAACTTCTTGTAACCCTTGTCTACAATTATTTACATGTACTTGTGGGAAGAAATGTGCCGTTAAGTCTTGTAAGGTCATAAGTAGCTCGGTATACACGTAGGGTTTGGCATTCATACAAGGAACCATCTTTCCTTCCACTAGCGCCTTCTGAATCTGAAGGGGGAGAAACAAATTAGTCAAACTTCTTCAAGATTAAATAAAACCGGTTAACCAAACAGAAAGTTGACGTACCTTAAACGGCGTGTGGGAACTACTCGTCGTGGGGAAGTCTATGATTTGAATTAGCCGCATCCGGTGGTCCATGGGCGACTGCGTCTTTCCGTTGCTGACATGGTGCTGCTGCCTCTGGTTCATCTGCGGCGCCTGGGGAGGAGAAACCGAAGGTCAATCACAACACTGCCGTTTAGAGTCCGACCACGGGAACCACTGGTTGCCTGGGTTGCAGCCTGCAGCGGCAGCTAGCTCCACTCACCGAGACGAGGGGAGGCGGGTTCTTGTAGTTGGCCGGGGCGGTCGGGTAGTGCGCGTGGGGCTGCTGGGGCGGCAGCATCTGCGACGAGTGCTGGCCCATGCCCATCATGTGCGTCAGCGCGGAGCTGCCGGCGTTGGAGTACATGGCAGCCGCAGCACTCGATCTCCTGCAACATGCACCACACTGTCAAACCCGCGGGCCGCACAGTCGGCGACAAGCCAGCAGACGCTGTCGACACTCACCCCATGGTGGGCTGCGAGCCCGTCACTCTGACTAGAGGCGGCGGGGGCTGGACGGCGGACCCGGGCGACACCATGCCCATCGGCATCGAGCCCTGCAACACAAGCACACCGTCAGAACAGCAACAAAGCGACACAGCACCCGCCAGACAGCGGCGCACCGGGAGCGCGGCCACGCACGCCCCCGCACCAGGGGTCGGAAGGTCGGAATCACAGTGCTAGAGACCGAGTGTGGGACAGAGGATGAACAACCCAATGGGATCGCGGGTACAAGCAAGTGTGGCAACACCGCAGCTCCGCGAACCTCAACGCGAACCCGAGCGCAGCGCCACACCCTTCCCTCCCTTCCCTCTCGCCTCCCCCAGCTCCCGTTTCATTCTTCCATTTTGCCTCCATTCTCCGGCCCGGCCCTTTGGTGCTCGTTTCTAAGCCTTTTATCAGAAGGGGGGAGGGGGAGGGGGGGGGGGAGAAATTTAAGATCGAAAAATATCAATTAAGTAAAATGAGCGGGGGAAACAACTGAAGAAAAAACTGGAAAAGGGCGACTTGTAATGAAAAAGTAAGCATGGTACTGCAGGAAGTGTAGCAACTACTCATGTCTCAAGAATGCTGGGAGGGAGAGGGGGGCTGCTGTGCAGCAAAGATAAGACCCTTCCTGTTAAGGCCCTCACATACCAATGAAATGAAAATTAACAGGCATTGACAAAGATCAATTTATTACAGGAAGAAGGCTAAGGTAGCAAAAACTAACACTACTGGATCAGCTGCCAGAATCAACTTACATAATTATTTATTTGAACTGAAACATACTAGATGAAAAACTTTAATTGAAATAGTACCCCTATTTAATTGAAAACCCAAAATCGTCAACAGATTCACCAATCCAAAAATTTGATCCCATTTTGAACAATGCCTTTGTTACTTCTGAACAAAAAAACAACATTTTTATGGAACTGGTCATACACTTTTCACTCACCAACATTCATACATTTTTCCCTCACCAACATTTAAAAAATACATTTTTCCCATACCCCCAAAAAATGGTAAACTAAATTCTTTCAATACACAAATTCAATAGCAAGGGTAAAGGCAAAAGTAAAAGGCAAGAAATTAACTCACATTGTGCATGATGGACATCCGGTTAGAGGAGGAAGAATGGTATGTTGGCTGACCCCCGACAAGACCACTCCAGCCATTGGTAATGGTCTGAGTCATGTATGACGCAGAGTGAGCAGGTTGTCGAGGAACAGAATTCACTCCTGCTGGCACTTTGTTCATGGCGGGAGATTGAGTAGGTACACTCACACTTGGGGTGATGGTCCATGTTGCACTTGAATCACTTTTTGCAGTTGACACTAAAAGTTGCCTATCCACTACTTTACTGGGCCAATAATCTTCAAAGTTTGTTTCACCTGGGAAGTAGCCTTTAATATCTTCTAAGCTTATCACTGAACAATTGTCCTTTTCAAAGAGTTCTGCTCTAATGCCTTGCACTTTACAACAAAATTTCAAATATGCTAAGTCCCAGCCTTCTAAAGTTTCTGATTTTTGGAAGAGGCTAGATATTTCACCTTCAAAGTAAAATACAGGAACATACTTGGTGCCATTTCTCAGAATGTAAGGCACAACTGATTCACCATCTATTCTAATAAAACCGCACTTATTTGAGAGAGAATTGTGCTGCGGCACCAATTTATTATAACACACATCAAGAAATGTATAAAACTCGTCAGCATCTTGAAGCCGCACTACTAAGTCCTTTGTTGTAAATGGTTCACGACCAAACTGATAGTCACAATGTCTAACATTGATATCATTAAGAAGTCTTGCCTCAGCATCTGTGATGTAATAGCTACGAATACATGTACAGCTATAAATGTCTGCATGAAGATATGTTAAGTATTTACTAAGTAGTTTCATTTCCACCTGTAAACAAAAAAAGAAAGGTTACTTATAGTCCAGAGGACTCTGAAACAGTGATTTGAAAAAGCTGGTACATACCATACGAACAGCACAATACTTTTCAGAGCCATAACGCAATATATAAGGGATATGAATTTTCCCAAGAGTCACCCAACCAAAATGCATTTTGACACTATCAGCATCACATGGTGGTTTTTCGGATGGATGCTGGGAAGGATTGGAAGTTGGAGGTTGTTGCGGTTTTTGAACAGGTGCACCAGATCTTGTCAGAAAGTTAAGAATTGCAGGTTGATTTGCATTAACCATCTGTGGTGCACTCTGTACTTGACCAGCTGTGCCATTAGTGCCAGGGCGGACGGCACCTGGCATTTTCGCCTTGTTGGCCTCCACCATCTTTGCCGCCAATGCCTCAATTTCATCTTCATCATCTCGTCGTTCATGTTTGACTTTATATTCTGTAAGCACAGCAAAATTTGTAATCAATATTAGAGACCTCATAATTGGCACGTGCCTAAATGTGAGACACACACAGCTTCAAATACAGGGAGACTGCTCCTAGCAAGATACATCCAGAATGAGCAGCTAGAAATTAGCTTCACTTTGCTTTGGCAATGTGCTGACCAAACAAGAGTATGAATTTAAACCGCTAATACGCATCAAATACTACCCACTGCTCTCTGAACACGACATGACTTGATTCTCTTTAACAAAAAAAAAAAAAAGAGGTTGACCTAAAAATATTTTAATAGGACGGACACTTCATTGCTTATTAACTGTTTCAGGCAAAATCAATGAAAACCCAAAGCAGAGTGTTTGCTCAAGAAAGGCAATGAGAAAACATGAGTAGGACTCTACAAAATAATCAATCATGTTGAAAAAGTATATACATAACCTCACTGAAAGAAGGCAAACTTTTAAAAAATCCAACTATAATACAGAAATTTTTGTTTGCAATTAAAATAACGAACGTTTTTAATAACGAGAGGTAAAGGAGAAACAAACAAAATATATGATTTAAAACAGAACCTCTGGATACCACCTCGACAGTTTGTCAACAAACAAGAATGACCTTAAGAAACAAAAACCGTATTAATTGGATTGGTATGGTCATAGAGACCTGAGATGCAACAAGAAAGAAAATATTTCGTACTCATTTAAATCGTATTTTCTCTAAAACTATGTTCCCGCAAAAAATGTATCTTCTGCTCAGTGGTGTGTTCATGGGAGGTTAGGTGATATACACAAGACGTTAGCGCCGCACAGGCCGAGCCAAAGTTGGGGTTCTGTTTGGTAAGGTATCTCTTGATAAAATGTCTGTGTGCAAATAACCAGTACCTGATAAAGACGAAACATTATTGGTAGCCGATGATACAGCGGCTACCGTCGGGAGCGCCATTGTACTTTTCTTCTTTCAGGGCATGTAGCTTTACCGACTTCTGGTATTGACGGTAAATGTGATCCAAACGAAAAGAAACATTTTGTTTACAAAAATAACCAAGCTTACAGACAACTTGGGCGCACTTTTCGTTAACACTCGTTTCAGTTTCTTAGGCTTCAATACACCTTAGGCTGTACAAGAAGTCACATTTTCAGTTTAGCTGTACTCCTCGTCAGCTAACTCACTTGTGATGGAAAATCCCATTCTAGCCTCTTACCCAGGCCACTCGTTTTGGCATGGCATTTTTACCACCGCCTAAAACCAATTTTACCCAAAGTAAGGAGTCAGCGCGAGGCTAGAGCATATCCACCAATCACAGCGCGCCGTGTGGTTGCAACAAAGGGTGTCCGCCATGTTGGATGACGTCAGCCGAATGTAAGGCTCACGCCCTGTTGGAGGCTAGGTTATAAATTCCAAGGTCTCTCGACCGTTTCAACGTGGGCGTCGGATGTTAGAGCATGCCATCAACATCAACATCAAAATCCCATCCATTCTAGCTCTCTCCACAAATTTTCACGTTCGATCATGAATTTTATTTTTACCGGAAAAAGTGAACAATAACCTCACTTAAATTCCGCTCCACTTGTCACCAATTGCTGGAATTCCCCACAAATATTCAAATATGCCGTTTGGGCTTGGGGAGCCACACCCACTAACATCGCCTATCAGCAACATGGATATCCCTTTGGGGCCTGCACAGAGCTTTACTGTCACGGATCTCGAGGTCAAATGGGGCAATGACCTTGTGACCTCTATTCCCACGGGGCACGCCAGTGGCGTTGGAACGTTGTCGGCACTGCCCAAGGCGTGTCTGGCATTCCCCCTCGTGCTGCCCTTCCCGCTACCCTGCCGCCCGGGACACCCACTTTTGGCGCATTTGTTGGGAAATGAGTCATTTGCGCCGTCACGCATCACTGGAACGACTTTCCGACGAGTGGTGGGGGTAGGAGGCATGGGAGTGGGGGAAGCGTCCGTCTCGGTTCGTGGAAGGGGGTGTCCGTGGTGGTGGGGGGGGGGGGTTCCACGCAAGCGGGAAAGCTCGAGGAAAGCCGAGTGTGTCGGCGGAGCGAGAGGAGGGGGGGGGGATGCGGGGAGCGCGAGGCGTGTGAGCGCGGTCCCTGGGAGCGAGGGGAGCGCCCGGGAGCGCCGCCTGCGGGCAGGAGAGAGTGAGCGCCCGCTGACAGGCGGCAGACGGAGGGTGAGCCGAAGAGCTCCGGACAGACCCGAACGACCCGACCCGAGCTCCGAGCGACGCAACGCCGCACAGGAAAACCTACAACCCACCGAAACCGGTTTGATCCAGTTGGGGTCAGTTGGGATGGGAAACCCCTCCCCCTGCCCCCCTCGCCCCGCACTAGCCATAATGGGTTTGCTTCTCTCGTCGCGTCTGTTCTTGGAATGATGCTAACGGAGCAAAAAAAAAAACTTACGCCGGAAATCAAATGTTAAAAATATCTAACTCCTGTACTGACGATTTTTGCATCGCTCTTCGAAAGCGGTATGCGAGTGTGGGTGATGTTGCGAAGTTGGTCATTGAATTATTTACCCCCCCCCCCCCGCCTCTGTCTTTGGCGGACAGGCCTAACGTTACCTAGCCGTGGCGACGCGTAGTGTAGTGCGGCCGTGGCGTGGCGTAGTGTGGCCTACTACGCCCAGCTAGCCTCGCGCCGGGCCGCCGGGGAACTCAACCTTCGGGCTTCGGGCGGCAGCGCGTAGCGGCGCAGCACCGCGGCGTGGTGGGGGGTAAAAACTTTTACCGCGGTCGGCGCGGGTCGGCGCCGCTACGACCCGCCACGCCGCGGCAGCCCGGAGAGTCGGAGGAAAGGGGGGGGGGGGGGTTGCGGGGGGCAAATGGGACAGCGCAGCGGCTCTCAGGGCCCGCGCCGTTTTCCACAGTGTAGGAGTGTACCCTGTGTACCAGTACAGTGTACCCTGCCATAAACAGGGGACGCGGCTGAGCGGCAGAGCGCTCGGTCCGCTGTCGTTTCGCTTTTCGATTTACCGGACAAATTCTCTTACGGAGATGAATCTTGAGATCTCCTCTGCACGTCCGAAAGAAGGACAGTACATCAAGTAAAACGAAATAGAGAGTTCTTCAAAAAAAACAAACAAAAAACAATGGAAACACGCGTCCGTATATTTTTCTTTGAGCTGCGCCATCTAGCGCAAGTACACTCGAAGCGCCAGAAACGTTGCAAAATTTGTGCAAAAGAAACGACGCTTTCTTGCTGTTAAGTGAGACAAAGGTTTTTCTCTAAATTCTCAGCATGGTACAGAAAAGTGCGCGCGTGCTTACACTAATAAATATCACAGCCACAAATAGGGAATGGCAAAAAATAGACATTTCTTGACGAAAGGTGGAAGCTGACTCGACCTGCCTGGAGCAAGGCCTGGAGCTCCCCTGGCAGCTTCACCTCGCGGCTGGCGAGGCTGGCTACTGCACCAGGCACATGTCTGCAACACGACAACGGCAACAGTCAGACAAAGGAGGCCTCGTTTCTCTCCCTCTCTGATCGCGAGCATCTCGCGGTGTGGTTGTAGTCACGCATTTCGCCGGTGAGAGCCTTCCCGCAACAAAACGCACGCAGTCCTAGCGCAGGCGTGTCCCTGAACCATGGCCAAAGCCGACACCTCCAACACCCGCCCGCGCACGGCGGCACGCCGGCACGGCGCAGGTCGCTGTGCTGACGCCGCTTGACGCTCTCCACTCGACACAAGGAGCGCCTGCGAAGCGGCGCGTCGGCAGCCCGCCCCGCACGCGTGTCCGGCGGGCAGGCGTCACCGCCCCTGCCTCCCCGTTTAACCGCCCCGCCGCCCCGAGGTGAGCGTCGCGCTCGCGCACAGCCGCGCTGTGCACAGCACCCAGGGCTGGAGGTCTAAAAGTCATGCCTATGGGCAGACAAACCTCGGTAAACCAAGCCGCCGGTGAAAGCAAGCCGCGTGCGTGGCGGGCAAGATAATCGAATGAAAGCCCTCTTCGGTGCGGGAGATGTGCAATTTCGATCATTGATTTCGATACAGGATTCGTAGAAAAGTATCATTTATTGAAAATCGCATTGAGCTAACATAAACAAAGCCAAGGCACATGGTGGTAAAATAATGCTCGAAGGGAATGACGAAAATACAACACACAGAAGCACAGATCAAGCCAACAGGAGGTGACATTCACATAAAGTAGAAGGATATGCTTAGGGTGATAATGGAGTGCACAGGAACGAATAACAAAGTTTTATACCCCATACAAAGAATCTTTGACAGTCTTAAGTGTACTAAAAATAAGTGCTATATTGCAGTCTATCTGCATCAGTCAAGCACCTAAGCAGTCCAAGAAGTAAAATTGAGCAACTGAGGCAATCCAAAAGGACGTAAGTAGAACAAGACATAAGGAAAGCTAATAGCTTCAGGTGACATTTCCAATCAACTAAGAGATTTTAATTTAAAAACACTAGTTATTAATGTAAGTTTTGCTGAGTAAACATCACAGAGCCTTTTTCCTTTTAAATGGAGAAAGATGTAGCATCCAAGTGCTTATATTATTATTAAGTATTCAATTAATTCTTCATTTCTTTCTCTTACAAAAGTAATTTTATCACAGAGCATTAAATTCAGGTATTCACAGCTCTATTGAACTATCACTTCAACAACAACAACAAAAATTATAATAACCACGCAATTTTTGACGATTGTTGACAAGTTACAGATTTAAGTAAACCCTCTGAAAAGTTACTTCTGAACCTACTGACGGCACATCCTACAGTCTTTTCACAACGTTCAAACAAAATTGACAAAAATCTGTCAGCGGGAGCGAATAAGCTTTTTACCTTTCAGCGATGCAGCAGTTGCATTGCTCCTCTCCTTGATGGCGGGTAGGGCAGCCAATGATTTGGAGCTCTCAGCCAAGCAAAGCCATTGTTGAACCTATTTTACACAAATTTCATGTTGTCAGCACATATTAACAAACAAGACAACAACTAAATTTATGCCAAAAATTGTTACCTGCTTATGGAGCAAGTCACGACGTGGGCCTCTTGGTTCTAAAGCTAGGAGGGGCATGAGAGTTGCTAAACATGATTCAAACTTCCCCAGGGCAAGGCTGTACTGCCCTTCAGTCATGTACATCTCTCCCGTATGACCAATTTCCAAAGCTGAGCACAATTTCTCAGAAGTGGTACACAATTTTACTGGCAACAGAGAAATGCACATGATAGAGAACTCATTATGATACATGTCACCCAAGATGCACTAGATAATTTAATAAAATACCAACATAGCTGACTAAAAGCTGATGAGTCGTTGGCTGAGCGTGAAGCAGCCGCAGCAGGATCTTTCAATTCTTCTGCTCTTCTAATGTATTCATCAACTTTCACTCGATATGCTGCCTTTTTGGTGGGATCGTTTTCAGCTGAGGACAAAACGAAAATCCAGATACATGCAGCATTTTTGAACACTCCAAAAATAATGATTAATCAAGCTACTACTTACCACTGAGAAGAGGTACAAAATATAACAAGGATTCACAGTATAGATTAAAGGCCTCTCTTTCCTTATGCTCTGCATCAAGTTTTACAGCTTTAGAGACAAGATCAACAGCTTTAAGTAATGATTCTTCACAGGGGAAATGCTCCAGGTCCAAGTAATCATGCTTGAAAAATGACTCATAATCTATTCTCTGCTCTGGATCATGTTTCAATAACCTTGACAATAAGTCCCGACATTGTGATGAGACTGATGCACATTTGGGGATCTGCAATATAACCAAGAGGTCAAAAGCCAAAAGCATAATCACAACCAAAAAAATGTGATGTTCTTAGCAGACAAGAGAGAAACAAGTTAGTGTCCTACCTCAACAGGTGCTTTACTTCGAATTTTGTCAGCTAATTCTGAAAATGAGCTGGAGGAATAAGGTGCTTTCCCAAACAAACATTCGTACATTATTATGCCAACAGACCACAGATCAGCTCTAGCATCATATTTCCTAGCCAGCAACATTTCTGGGGCCATATAGAGGGGTGAACCACGTATTGAATTGTGCTTGTCTTCATCAGATAAATACTGAGCGAAGCCAAAATCTAGACAAAGCAGAAACAAACATTCAGCTAGGGTTACATATACACAATAATAAAATGGCTTTACTCTCACACAAACCTCCAATTTTTAGGATTTGTTGCTGTGCAAGAAGCAGATTAGAAGGTTTCAAATCCATATGGCAAACGTTGTGTGATCGCAGATATTTTAAGGCTGCAGACAACTGCTGCAAAAACCTTCTGCACACAGGTTCAGGGAGGCACCTTTTCTTCTTGATGAAACCAGACAGGTCGCCACCACCACACCATTCCATTATGATGTAAATGCATCTGGGAGGACAGAAATAGATAAAATTGAGCAACATTCATGTAAAATAATCAATCTTGTCAACCAATTGGCAAACCATGGTAAAAGGACAGTTCTTCCAATGACAACGTTGCAGAGAGAAAACTCTTTGATTGTTGCAAAGCTACTTGTTTACTGTTGCCTTGGTACCAGAACAAGTAGTTATTTCTAACCACCCTTCCCAAATTCTCACCCTCTAAAACAGATAGTAGAGGGAAAATGTTGTGCTTTCATTGGATTAAATTGAACAGAAGAAAACATTGCTATATAAAAGGATACCGCCGCTCATGCACATAGTAAAGAGTGCACTTATGTACCTACAATTGCAATGTAGCACTTTCATTGACTGACCAAGGGGAATGGATTGAATTGAAGCAATGGCAAGGACAACTTTAGGTTCGTACAACAACTGATAACCTAGGGTTAAGAAATATATCAAAAGAACGACAAGATCTTCACCTTCCGTCGTAGAGAAAGTCTTTCATGTTGACAATGTGCGGATGCTTTAGCTTTTTGAGTAGAGATATTTCTGTGACAATATTATCCTCAGCAGATTTGGAGAGTCTTCTTTTTTCCACAACTTTAATTGCAACTGCTTCTCGACAACCATCCTGGGAAAGAACATTGATTCAAATTAAAGGGATTTAGCTTAAAACAAAGTACATATTACACCAGTCAGAGAGTAAATTCACCTTTTTGAATGCTTTATAAACATTGGAGTAGCTTCCTGCCCCTATCTTCTCAACAATAACATAACCTTCAACATAGGGGGTCGTCATGTTTGTCCCTTGAAACTGTCTTTTCGAAATGAAATGAAATAAAGTAAAACTAACAGTTTGAAATATGCATGCTAGCTAAATGTCCAGGAAGCGTAGGACAAGAAATTCGCCCATTCTTTTCGTTGTTTCGGACATAACTGTTAAGTCAAGTAGCAAGTGGTGCTTTTCCTCTAGTGAAGGAACAAAGCTACGTTCCTCTCTCTCGCACACACACTCAGCTCACTCACTCTCTCTAGGGATCTCTCCCCCTCCTCCTCTTCCAAAAATATCCCCTAATTGAATAAAAAGAGCATTGCCACTGACATGGAGTTTTACGGAGGCCAAGACTTTTGACAGTGTCGAATTTTGGAGACTGTTTTTGATCCCACGAACAAAATTTTGTGAACCTTCTACAGTTTCAATTTTGATTTTTCCTCTCCTTTTAATTTTTGTAAGTTTGCCAACTTCACAAAATGAAGTACACGTAGTGTGTCCCAGTTCGCAGTTCTTAGCCGAAACAGCTCTTGCTGTTTTGATATTTTACAGAGAGCTCGGCCTTCAACCTATAACACAGCTTGCAACAAACACGATTCATATACTAGTTTTACTGTCAAAAGTTTCGGCCTGTTTTGAGTACTTTGGTGCTTGCGCTTGGCGGCCCTTGCCTGGCGCTGTGGAGGTTGTGACGTCATGAGTTAAAACAGTGATAGAAACACAGGTGCTGTGTTGCTCAAACGAAAGGATTTGTGTATCAACTGCCCCTTATATTTGTTTATTCGTTTTCTAGCGTTTAGTGAGTGGTGTAAGGGAGGGTTCAATTCTCTAAGCGTCGACAGTATGGACTCAGAAGATGAAACCCCTTTCGACGACGGAGATTCGGGAAATGAATCCAGTGGGGATGATGTTGATTTTGCAATGGAAGTGGACAGCAATACCACCAAAGAAAGGCCCCCTGATGTTGATGAATACCCTTTCGAAGTTTTAACCACCGAAGAAATCGTCCAACATATGATAGATTGTATTAAAGAAGTTAACACGGTTGTAGAGGTAAGGATATTAATAATGTGGATGAAAGTCATCAACAACAAAGACCTGAACCCGTTTCTTAACCTCAGAACTCTTGATCAGTGTCAAAGCTATGACCTTGCTTTCGCAGAATTATGAAAGACCGAAGACAATTTGTGAGTGACTGGCGTCAGCTTGTTTGAGGGGTAGTCTCTTTCCTCCAAAGGACATTTAACTGGACTGACTAAAAGATCTAAGTGCTCTGGAATGTCATGAATCATGCAGTTTGATATCATAATTAAGTAACTCTTGTCATTTTGTCAGTCCTCTTTTTTATTATTCTCTTGAACATTTTTTTAAAACTTGTAGGAACTATCTTCTGCCTTTGAATGCTATGCCTTAAAATTATTCAACTCCCTAAGGACTCTTGATTTCGTTTCTTATGTTGTTTATGGTTTTGTTTACCATCTGTAATTGTTTTCTTGTGGTTGTTATTGGTATAATAGTTGTTATCTTCAGTAACATGTGTCTTATTTCAGATTCCAGCAACAACTACTAGAATTCTTTTAAATCATTTTAAGTGGGACAAAGAGAAGCTCATGGAACGTTTCTATGACACGGATCAAGATCAGCTGTTCAATGAAGCAAGAGTTATTAATCCGTTCAAAAAAGGAGCTGTCATAAGGCCCAAGGTACTCAATCAATTTTGATTTTCCAGTTTTTGTGTGAGCTTTTGTGCCGCATTTATTTTGTTAGGACTCTGACCCGTTCAACATGTACTTTAATCTTTCAGCCCCCCAAAAAATCTTCCCCATCTGGTACAGAGGAATGTGAAATTTGCTTCATGGTACTACCATCAAGTGTAAGTTGAGAGATGGTTTTATAAATATGCAGTATTTTCTGATGATTCTGTACTCTATAATCTTCATGGTTTTTTCCTTCTTTAGCTGATGACTGGCTTAGAATGTGGCCATCGCTTTTGTACTCAATGTTGGGGTGGATATCTTACAACCAAAATAATGGAAGAAGGTGTGGGACAAACAATCGCGTGTGCTGCACATGGCTGTGATATCTTGGTTGATGATGCTACTGTGATGAGGCTTGTGAAGGACTCTAAAGTTCGACTCAAATACCAACATCTCATTACCAACAGTTTTGTTGAGGTACACATTTCTTTAATTTTATGCTCAGTCTAGTAGCTTTTTATAAATTTTTTATTGATTTCTTGTTTTTATTGTAGTGCAATCGGCTTTTGAGGTGGTGTCCATCCCCAGACTGCAATAATGTTATTAAAGTACAGTACAAGGAATGTAGGCCAGTCAAGTGTAAATGTGCACATGTGTTCTGCTTTTCTTGTGGTGAGAATTGGCATGACCCCGTAAAATGTGAAATTCTTAGAAAGTGGATTAAAAAGTGTGATGATGATTCTGAAACATCTAATTGGATTGCTGCCAACACAAAGGTGACTTTTGATCTTTATTTTGGTTGTTATCAACTTGGTATTTTTTTATAACAAACTGTTTTGCTCTTGCAGGAATGTCCTAAGTGTAATGTTACAATAGAAAAAGATGGTGGTTGTAATCATATGGTTTGTAAAAATCAAAATTGCAAAGCAGAGTTTTGTTGGGTGTGTTTAGGACCCTGGGAGCCTCATGGATCTTCATGGTATGCCAGTGTTTTTTTTCTTATCACAATTTTTAATCAAATATTTGCATGAAGTTCCTTATCTAACTTTTTCTTTTCTGCAGGTACAATTGCAATCGGTATGATGAAGAAGAAGCCAAGGTGGCCAGAGATGCTCATGAGAGATCCAGAGCTGCTCTGCAACGTTATTTGTTTTACTGCAATCGGTACATGAATCACATGCAGTCCCTGAAGTTTGAAAATAAGCTGTATGCGTCAGTGAAGGAAAAAATGGAAGAAATGCAGCAACATAACATGTCGTGGATTGAGGTAAATTGTCCAATGTTGATTTTGTTTGTTAAGATCTCTTTCTATCTTCAAATGTTGCATTGCATTAGGCATTACTTACCGCTAAGTTTACCCTTTGTTTTGATCTAGGTCCAGTTTTTGCGGAAAGCTGTTGATATCCTGTGCCAGTGTAGGCAAACACTTATGTACACCTATGTGTTTGCTTATTATCTTCGCAGAAGCAATCAATCAATTCTCTTTGAGGTACTTTGAGGCACTCCAATTAAAATGCGTGCTTTGTTTAGGGTCAACCTATTATTGTTATCGTTTTTCATTTTGCTTCAGGACAACCAAAAAGATTTAGAGAGTGCCACAGAGACATTGTCTGAGTATCTGGAGAGGGAAATCACCTCAGGAAATTTAGCTGATATTAAGCAGAAAGTGCAAGATAAGTATAGGTATGATCTCACTTTTTAATGTTGGTATTATTTTGTAAAAGTACAAATTTAAGTCTAATTGTTTCTTGTGTTTTTTTTTTTTTCAACTTTCAACAGGTACTGTGATAGTAGACGAAAGGTGCTACTGGAGCACGTCCATGAGGGCTACGAACGTGAATGGTGGGAGTACTTTGAGTAGCAAGAGAAGCCAAATTGATCGTAAAAGTGACCCATTTAAAGCGTAGTTAGTGGTGCAGTGTAACACAATCTTCTCCTGCAGATATTCAAGTTCAAATCATCTGAAGGTGTTAAAGATACCTACATATGTTGTGAAATATGTATGTATATATATTTTTTCAGATTTTATCTTGTTCTGAACGTAATTTTCTTCTGATTTGTTGATCATAAATCAGCTATTTACTTCATATGGTGAAACCTTGATAATGTGAACTTCATTATAGTAAATGCGTGTGTATTATGTAGCTTCCGCAGGAAGTGAGGCAATCCGTAAGGTGATTAGCCCTTTAGGAAAAAATAACAATAGAGAACAGATATGATGCCCCTACCTGCCTCTTATCTAAGTACATTTTATCAAAATACGGTTTAATGAACACCTGCGAATGAAGTTAGAAACGCAAACCCCCAGATTATTCGTATTAGCAAGGTTTCACTGTAACAAAAATTGTTAATTATTTACCAGACACAAATGCAATGATAAGGAACAAATGCAAAGAGTATATTCACATTCAATTTAGGTTTAAGGGATGGCTATAATTTAAACAGGTTCCATAACAATGTGTTCGTTTGCCTCTGTCCCACTGCTGAAGATGGTTATGTTTTCAATGTTTCTTTCTCAAGGAAACATAATTTGCAAAATAAAAACAACAGCCTACCAAGCCATCCCCACCTGTTTAGTCATTTACTTAAACATTTCTCACTATCTTGCTCTTTTCCCACCTCCCCCATTTAAAATGCGTTTTGTTTTTATCCTATGCAATGAAGGCAGAGTGCACGTTAGAAAGCAATAAAGCAGAAAAGCCAACTTTGAAGTCTTCCTGTCATCTGATTTGTTCTTCATCTTATATGTAACAAATGTTCTGCAATGGGGGATTGGGTTGTTGTTATTTGTTTAATTGGAAGTGACTCTTTTAAGTCTGTTGTTTATTACTTTTATATATTATTAAGGTCTGTTAAGATGGCATTGACATGTTCTGGTTATTTGCTTCTTAATTTTGCGCAAAATTTGAATAGGTGATTTCCTATAATACTTCTCGCTGAGCGGGAAAACGTATACTGTGATTTGTGTAAACTAGTTATCAGTATTGGTATTGTTGGATTAATGACAGGAATGAAGGAATAGCTGTAGACTAGAGTGAAGGATTGCATTGCAGTGAGACCACTAGTCATTCCCACCCATTTATGCTGTGTGCACTGACTTTTGAACATTTCATGTATAGCAAAGTGAAATTAAGTTCAAGTAATTGCTTTTAATTTTGTTAAAATGTTAACACTAATACTTTTATTGATTCTCATAGTACATTCGCAAGCAGCTTTCTGTTTTGTTTTGGCATTACATTGAGAACCTAATTGTATGCAATTTTTGTGGTGGGCACAGCAATGCTTCTTATGGTTGATTTCATTGGCCACATGGTGCCTTCATCAACCATGACCTGCTTTCATTATTTTAGAAAAAAAAATTGTAAAAAAAATAACCTAGTCGTTCAGTTTTTATTTCATGTTCACCATTGTTTGAGATGAAGCTATTTGTTACCTTGCATATTGAGTATGAGTTTTTAGTACTTCTGCATGTACTTGAAGCCCGTGATAGCTGGGACCAACACTTAGCAACTTCATGTTATTTTTAAGTGGCTTACATTTTGGCCAAGGAATCAACTTGTCGGATGCTTCCCTATGTTTCTTTATTTACATCTGTTGTAAATGTCTTTGTCCTCTGGTGTAGTTGCCGCCATGACATCACAGTGGTGGCCAAAACGGGCGTTTAACTATCCCGGTGCAATCTATGTTGGTTATGTCGATCGGTGTTTGATTTACTGGCCTTTAGTGCTGTTTAAAACTGCCTGTGCTTTTGGTTGTGTATATAACACCTGCACCTTGTTGGGTATTACTTTTAGACACTCTTGCAAAAGCTTGAGCTGCAATGAATAGCAGGCAACACTTACAAATATTTTATTTCAATTCTGTTTTAAAGATTTGGCATTATGTAGAAAAAGAGTTGGATTTATGAGTGGTAGGACAGCTTCCAAGTGAGAACCCCAGATTCCAAGTATGCATATTCTTAACATTTCTTCTGTCTCTAGCTTGTCTTAAAAAGTTGTGGTTACCATAGGTTTATGCACACAATGGGCCAGTTTTTAAAGATTTACTAGTTTGTTTTACTTTGCTTGCCTGTAATGAAATTTGACCCTGTCCTGTGGCAATAATTTGTTGTGACTATCTTGCCTTCTGCTCTCAAACAATGTATGGTGAAGAGGCAAACTGTTCATCCAATTACCAACTTATCAACTGATTAGCTGTTTTAATTAAATATGTGTAAAGCAGAGTATGTGTACATATTTTCTATTTAAGGAAATATATGAGATTTGAGTGAATGTATGGAGTCCTGTCTTTTTAAATTCCTTTTTCTTACTGAAGTGTTAATTTTCTCTACTGTTTCATACCTTTCAAAGGTGCTCTACAAATTTCAAAAACAGTCCCCTCTTTTTAGACATGCAGGGTTTCATGCCTCTGCCCTCTGTAGGCCTGGCTAGTAACTTGGGGTACAATTTGAAGTTGCATCCATTCATGGAACTAAAAATAAGAAAGCCAGTCACATCACAAATCTCTATTTAATTAATCATTTATTTGTTTATCTAGATATTTACATAGGGTGATGATGTCTTTATATACTACACAGTAAACACATATTCGAATAAAGCTTAGGACTATAAAGTCTTTGAAAACAGAACAATTCAGTTGGTACTTCCAATTACATTATTTTAAGACGTCAAATTGATATCAAAATCACAGGCTCAGATCAGCAATACAGTTTTAGGAACGACAAAAGCCTTTGCCGGCCGCCATCAAACACACAAAAGAAGGCTTTGCTATCTTTTTCAAACATCACCATGGTTGCTTTCATGAATTGAAATACTAAAAAGCATTGTAAATAAGGGGAGATGTAACGCTTAGAATTAAAATGATGTATGGAGCCAAGGTAGCCATTTCACTTGGGCTGCCAGAATGGCGGTAGTTTCGAACATTACGATTTTGGGCGGGAGTGAGAGAGAGGGAGAGGATGGATGAGACAGAGACACGAGCGGCGCGCAGAGCCGCGACTCTCCTCGGTGTTGGGAGGAGAGGGCGGTGGCGCCGCGCCCTTGCAGCGGGAAAGACAAAGACGGGGATGTTTTGGGACTTTGAGCTGCCCGGAGTCCACAAGACTTCCTGCGACACTGTTGGATGAGACAGAGATGTGGTCTTCCCCGCGGCAGGGCGCGCAGGGCTGGGTGCGGGGCGGTCGTCATGACAGTGGCTCTCTCGTGGTATTTGGTAGGAACAGACAGAGGAGGCCGCCACCTGCAAACACGAAACACGAGGCGTTATCACCCGCCGGAATGAAGGAGAGTTAAGCCACTGCCGCGCTCTGTCCCTCTCGCACTCCTGGAGCGTCCCGAGCGTCCCGTGCGTGTGCGAGAGGGACAGAGCTACGCGCGCCACGCGGGGCTCACCGATGAGCAGGGCTGCGACGATGAAGGTGGGCGCGGGACAGTAGACGTCCAGCAAGGTGGCTATCACGATGTTGCCGATGATGCCGCCGAGACGCGCCGCCACCATGGACACGGCCACGCCAGTGGCGCTGCGGGGGAAAAGCGAAACGTGACAGAACGATCCCCGGCGAGTCAAGTGCACCAGGCAGTTCCCGGTTGTTCGACAGTGGCGTGGTTGGCTTACCGCAGGTGCGTGGGGAAGATCTCGGTGATGAGGCAGTCCAGCGCCGCGTTGCCGCAGCTGATGACGGAGCTGAAGACGGCGTTCACGATCAGGTTGTTCTGCTTGTTGTACACGAAGAACATGCAGATGGCGCACAGCCCCGACGTGAACGTGCTGAACACTGCGGAGGACGGCAAAGTCTTAGCGAGTCCACGCCTGGCGCAGCCTGGCGCCGCTGTCTCTCTCGCACCCCAACGGGAGAGAGTGTCTATGCTTGTACTCACCGAGGAAGAACTTGCGCCCCAGGTGGTCCATGCCCAGGACGGCGATGATGTTGGACGGCACCGCGGAGGCCACGGTAATGAGGGACTCCATGAACACGGAGCCCTGGATGGAGTCGTCACACGCCGAGTGCTCCGACTGCGTGCCGTTGGTGACGACGAAGCGCGTCACGTCGCACACCGACGCCTCGCGGCCCGGGTGCGCCGTGCTGAACTCGTCGAAGCGGTGGAACAGCTCGGGGAACCACATCATGAGGCCGTAGTAGCCGATGTGGAAGGTGAAGTTGATGGTGATGGAGATGAGGGTGAAGCGCAGGATGGGGGGCATGAAGAGCTGCTGAGAGTTGGTGAGGATGTCGCTCAGCATGCCCTTCCAGCGGTCGGCCTGCGACACCTTGAGCGAGGGCTCCCTCTTGCCGACGTCCACCACCAGCACGTCGTCGATCACGAGCTCCTTGACCTGCAACACGGCCAGGACTTGGAGTCAGGCGCGGCGGGCGGCGCGTAGCGGCGCGGCCTCCAGCGGGGTGAGCTAGCGCCGTGGCGGCCGGCAGTCCCGTCGAGCTCGCGTGCGCGGCGGCACAGCCTACCGCGCAGGCTGTCGCTCGCTGTCGCTCGCCACCTCCCCCAAGGTCCAAGGGACGCAGTACCGCGCAGTACGCACCGGGTAGTCCTCCGGCGGGTTGCCGGTGTTGGTGGCGTAGATGTGCTGGAAGATCTCCATGGCCTGGTCGCTGTGGCCCTGGGTGAGCAGGAACTTGGGGCTCTCGGGCAGGAAGCAGAGCAGCCCTGCCACCAGGAAGCTGGGCACGGAGCACAGCAGCAGGAAGATGCGCCACGAGTTGTAGAGGAACGTGGGGGAGTGGTAGCCGATGCCGCTGGGGATGACCAGCCAGGCCAGGCCTGCAAGAGAGAAGCGCCCACCCAATCAGCGACACGGCCCCGGACTGCCGCACAACGACGACGTCATGTCAAGTGACTCAGGACTCACTCGCCACGAAGAGGTTTCCCAGCGTCCAGAAGGCCGCCATGAAGCTCAGCATGGAGCCCCGCTTCTGCTTGGGCTGGAACTCGGCGAAGTACGACCAGATGACGGGGCCGCTGCCGCCTAACCTGGAAGCGCAAGAGCCGAAGACTCATCAAACACGGGTTCAAAACAACAGCCACCGCAAAACAAAAGTTTTAACAAATTTTCCCGCTACAGTCGAGAACAATTATATCTTATCAGTAGGCGGAAGACGGAGGTTCTACTTACGCAGCGCCGTTCAGGAACCTGAACAACATAAATAGTTCGTAGGACTGCGAGAAGCTGGAGGCCACGATGCAGACCGCGTTCATGAAAGAGATGACGATCAGCACCTTCTTGCGGCCCACAGAGTCCGCCACGGAGCCCCACGCGTAGGCCCCCGCCATCATCCCTGAAAACGACAACGCCTCAGTCGCTATCTCCCTGGAGCTGAGCCTCCGCGGCCGGGAATGCCACATGAGGCATTCGCACAGGCCGACAGACAGACAGGCCGACACACACACACAGACACTCACCAATGAAGATGATGCTGTTGAGCCAGCCCTTGGTGTGCGTGCTGAGGTGGAGGTCGCACTGAGCGGACGGCAGGATGAAGGACATGGATATGACGTCCATCTCCTCGCTGGTGCTGACGAAGCCGCACACCATGAGCAGGAAGTAGTGGAAGCGGCCATAGCCTGCAAGCGTCCAGGTTATCATTTTTTTAAAAATAATGTAATTTTTTCTTTTTTTTGAAAATGAATGAGTTAGGTGTAGTTACCGGTAAGTTCGATGGCCTTTTCGAAGTCGGCCTTCTCAAAACTGCCCTTCTCTACCTCTCCGGGCAGGGCTGTCTTTGTGGTTTTTACATCTAAACAGAAAAACGTGGTAACGCATCGGCTTGCTTCCCTTCTTCTCTCCCGGTGACGGCCAGCAGCCAACACTCACCACCCAGCTCGATCTCCGTCGAAGGATGACACTGCCGGCCGTTGGAGCCCTTGTGGTTTACATGGCCGTCTGAAACAAGCAGCGACATACACCGAATGAAAAACGGATCGTTTTGCTAAGCGATCGTCCGGGATTCGAGTGAGCGAGGCTCAAATTGCGATCGCCCGGTCCAGAATGTAAATGTCCGCGCGTCCGACAGAGTTTTTCTCTTCGATTGATTGACAACGGCGAAGCTTTCGCCAGTCATGGTGACACTGGAGGGAGGCCATGGCCCCGCTCGGCCCCGCTCGGCCCCGCTCGGCCCCGCCGGCTCTAACGCACTCACACCGCGACGCCGCGAACGACACGAGGAGCACGCGCTCTGTCTCTGTCGCACTCATGGAGGGGCCCGGGTTGGAGATGGTGGGCTTTGGGAAGGGAGGGTTCAGTAAGTAAGGCGCGACGGACTCGAACCTGAAACCAGCGAGCGTCGAGTCTATCGTCGTGCGGATTGAAACGACGCGTTTCCTTGCGACTCGCTTTGCAAGCTTTGCAAGCTTTGCAGAGTAGGCGGAGCGGCCAGGCCGCCAGGCCGGACTACACAGGGACAGGGCCACCACCAATTTCCGCCCGAAACGACATTCGCCAATCGCATTCGCTGCGCCGGCCCGGCCGGCCCGGCCCGGGGAGAGGCGACCACGCCGCGGTGCGTTCCGAGCTTCGAGCTTCGGGTTTCGGCCGCGTGGACGACCGGTACGGCGCTGCAGTCGGCCAGGCATGCGGAAGATATTGAACGCGGCCGACGCGCTTTGAACGCGATGCTGCGATGCTCTGGGCGGCGCGCCGCGCGCGGTGCCGGGCGTCCTTGGCGGGGAGTGACCTCGCCGCGGACCTCGTCCATGCACTGTGCGGAGGCCGCGCGCCGCGCGCCGCGCCGCCACGCCGCCAGGCTCCTGATATCAACTGGGGCACCTTGATGGCCTCGTTGAGGACTGAGGACGGAGCGGCGGTGGAGGTCGCGCCGCGACATGGCTGGACCGCCGAGGCGGCTGAGGGAAGGGAGGAGGACCAACCAGTGACGCGCAGCGAGCGTCCACACTCGAATTACCAGTGCCGGCACGCATCACGCACCCCTGCCTGCATCAGAGACTTTGTTGCTATCGCCAAATCCAATCGAGTTCGAACAGCCTTGCCCAGCCACTTTATGAAGATATTTTCGAGAATGTATGCGCTTTGTCTACACATGCTCGGTGCGTTTGAAGACGCCGCCCTGCTGGCTGGCCTTCGGCTTTACTTCGGCTGGCCTACGGCTGGCCTTCGGCTGGGTTCGGAGCACTTGGGATTGGCGAGCGGTCATTGCAGTCGGCGGGCAAACCGGCAAACGGCAAACACGCTGCCGGAAACTTGAAACTTGGTCCGAATGGCACGCTGTTTGCTGTCCCTGCCTCCCTGCGCCGATACCGCGTAGCACGCCGTCGGCATTGCCGTCCGATGCCGTCGGTTCCCACGAGGCCTCGACCGCCAAACGAAAGGTTAGTGCGCTATACTTTTTAGTCGCACTGCCGGTGCAACTATCGCTCTTTTCGTAGACATTAGTTTGGTTACTGCCATAGACAAACGCTAAAGCGAGTTTCGGTAAAGGCTTGGGCACAAGAGGTCAAGTGGAGGTTTACGTTCATAAAATGCAGCGAAAAGACGCCGTTTCGACTAGAAATGATCTGCATCTCCGGCCTGGCTTGGTATTGCCACTTCTGCCATCGCCAAATTGACGTAACGCGTTAATTTGTTGCCAAGGTTTGCAGCCCTGGCTCGAGAGCACGGCGCGCTTGAGGGCTCCGCGATAAAGAGAGACAGAGAGAGAGAGAGAGAGAGACTACCCCGCGCCTTATCGGCCACGCTGGCCAACGCAAAGACAATGGGCAGCGTCCGCAGCGCAGCGTCGTGTGTGTGTGTGTGTGTGTGTGTGTGTGCGTGTGCAGCCCGCTGCAGTGTGTTGAACTTGTCATGTCATCCGGAGCAGGGGCACAGAGGTTGTGGCAAAAGAAGAGGGAGAGGGGGAGGGGAGGGACGTACCTCAGCAAACGCATCCCCAATAAAATAAGGAAGTCCCTAGACACCCGTTTTGGTTTTACAAAACAAAAACACTCCGCCGGGAATCCTCCCTTTTTGTGGTTACGCTGAGGGTGGCTGTTCGCCTCTGTGCCGATACGCAGGCTTACCCCAAGATAGTGTCACCGCGAAGCAACAAACAATAACAAAAGGGGTGACGTCACATGTCGCGGCGGTGCAGCAGTGGCCTCACCTCACTGTCGCGATTCCCTGCGGCTGGGCCTCGCCCGGCCTTGGATCGGGCCGAACGGGCCACGCGTTTTTGTTTTGTTTTGTTTACTAAGTTGGCGATGGTGGCGCGGCACTGTCGCGGCACTGTCGGGCCAAACGGCGCAGGCCCGTCTAATTGAGTGCCACAATTGCGGCTCCATTTTGAACGCCATAAAGCAGCCATAACGGAGTCAAGACGCCAGAGCCGCCGGGCCGCCGCAGCGATAGTGGCGCGGCGAGCGAGACAGCAAGAGCAACAAGACAGCGAGAGTAAAGACACGGCAAGACGGCGAGGCGGGGCGCGGCGCGGCGGGCTCCACCCGAATCAGACGGCGACCACGTGGACTCGGCGGGGCCACGGCGGGGCCGTGCCGTGGATCACCGTGGAATTGAAGTCGCTCGCGAGTTGGTTTCGTCACTAGTCCGTCGTGTGAGTCCGTGAGTTTGCCGAGGGCCCGAGGCGAGGGCCCGAGGGGCGTTGCACTGCGTCGGACGCCGAGTCGGACGTGGACGGATAAGGAGGATCACCGCGGCGCGGCGCGGCGCCGCCCGGCCACGGCCGGCTTCGTGAAGAATCAGGAAGCATCAGCCGCCCCGCCGCCCCGCCCTCGCGAGGCGAAAAATAAACCTCGTCAAGTGTGCCATTGAACCGCGGGGAAAGTACGCACGCGGCGATTGCCTGTTGCTTGGCAGTGGCGTTGAAACAGTAACTGTTTCAAACAAGTTTTGGCAAAATGTAAAATAAAGTAATGTTTTGGCACTTGCACGTTTACTGCTCTGCGTCAGCAGCGGTGTGGTGACGTCACGGCGCAGGGAATTCCTCCAGAGCGGAGAGAGCACCCGATGCCGCTTCCGAGAACCCCGTCGCCAAGGGTCAAATAAACGGGGAATCTTTCGCGAGAGACCCGTTTCCTTTCCGAGAAGCGACGACAGTCGCGGTCGGAACCCATTGACGGTGACAGTGTTGAACGATGGGCCGGCGCAGCCTTGGGGCAGGCCCACCGCACCGCCGCACCCCGGACGACAAACGGGTCAAAAACCGATTGGCGCGTTTCGGTGCGACGAGACGCGAATCTCGTTTTCGTTTTCCCTGCTACCACACCATAAGCACAACAAACATCGCGGCCCTGGCGCTGCCCACGCTGCCCACGCACCGTACAACCGCTGCAGTGTGTCCTGGAGGTGGCCGTTGTCGTCCCCTCTGACGGGGTCCCTCGGGTCCCGGGGGTCCCGGGGGTCCCGTTGCGGGACGGCCGTGTAGTCCATGTCTGGGAGCAGGCCGGCGGTCCGTCAGAAATCCGTCTTGGCGGCTGGGGCGCCGGGGAGGCTTCGCCGCTTCGTTGCTTCGCTGGAGCCGGGCGGTCCGGGCGGTCCGCGCGGGCCCGGCTGCGGCTGGTCGTCACAAGTCCGAGGCCATGCTCCGGCCCAACGTCACAACGCGTCACGATCTGCCGCGGTACCTCCGGCCCTCCGGCACGCACACTGTCGGCAGCGCGTTCCGATTCGGACACTGTTTACCGCGACGTCTCGCTGCGCATGCTTCGCTTCGCGGCCACGCGGACAGGCAAAGCTAGCGCGGAGCAGGCGAAGCTGGAAGAGGGCACGGCGCACTGCACGCGGCACGGCACGCACGGCGCGACGCCTCGGGGACCTCGGGGACCTCGGGGACCGACGACTAAGTGTCTGAGCTGCCTGAGCGGCCTGAGCGATCGCAGGGCCCGGCAGGCCGCGGCAGGCCATGCACGGGTAAGATGTGTGGTTCGGGGCGGGGCGGGGCGGGGCGGGGCTCGCCGCTTATCGCCCTCGAGATTGCGGGCCGATAGGGAGGGTCCATGGGTCCAGCGGTGTCCCTCTAGTCCGGAGGCCCGCGCCCAGCCGGCCAGCGCTCCAGCAAGCGGCGCTACTCCATCCCCACGCCCAGGGCACACCGCACAGCGCTAGCGCGCTAGCGCAGCGGGCCGGTGGGGGTGGGGTGAATGGTACGGGGTGGGGGTTCAAAGCACAAGGCCCAAAAATCGGTGGCTACGTCCTTGGCGGAAACATTGACCCAGTGGCACCCGTATCGTCCGTTCCGAGTCCGTTCTGTGAACTTGGCGGCCACTCGACGTGCAACATTGTACGGCGGGCTGTCTCCGGCGTGCCTGAGGCGTGCAGTGGCGTGGCGTGGCGTCCGTTTCCCGCCCTGCCCCGCCCTGCCCCGCCAGGCCGCCGCCATTGAGGAGTGTCGCTCGCCTCGCCTCGCCTCGCCTCGGGAGCATCGCTCCTAATCGCGCGCCCGATTGCACTGACTCGTGGACGCCACGGCCTGGCCACGGCCGCCAGCACGACGGGCAGGTGCTTCTTGAAGGCGCCCGGAGCCCCGCCAGCCCCGCAGGCCCCGCAGGCCCCGCAGGGTGTCACTGGGCCACAGAGCAACAGGCAGATAAAGTGAGCGCGTTCGCGAGCCGTCCCTCTCTCTCGCTCTCTCTCGCTCTGCTTGCTCCGCCTGGTCACTGATGCCCGCTGATGCCACTGCAGCGACCGACCGGTCGGAGACGCAGGCGGAGACGCAGGCGGAGACACCCCGGGCGCAGCCAAGCGCAGCCCACTCGACTGCGCGTCGCGCGGCCAATCACAAAAGTACACTAGAAACTTTTTGGCGCTCGTTGGTGCGACTGGCCTGGCCGGGCCGCTTGGCTTGGCCACAGCATGACACGCCTCTACTCGCCGTCGCGACGCGTCGCGACGCCCCCACGTGCCGCCAATGAAGGCGATTATGTCTATCGCGGATTTGGGCAAAGCGCGACTTTGATTTGCGTTTGATAGGACCTTGCTCCGCCACTCGGCAGCACGCGCCTGCAGGCGGTGCACTGGGCCGGTTCAAGCATTCAAGTGTCTCGGTTCAAGTCGCAGAAAACAGAAACAAAGCCTGACAAAAATGGCCCCTAGGCATTTAGTGCGTTCATGATGTAGAATGGTGTTTTAAGAGTGCCGGTTCCTCGAACCGCTCGCCGCGTGACCTTGTCCCCACTGCTTTCGGCCTTCCGTCGCCACCTTGTGTCGCCGAAAGGCGCAGCGGCGCAGCAAAACAATTTTATTGTCCCCGATCTTACTTCGTTTTGTTGCAGTTTATGGACGACACTGTCTCGAGCGGCCAGCTACTGGGTGCCTTCTTAAACGCGTCCGGGTCATTACCAGCCGCTCCGATCCCGAACGCTCTGTCTCTCTCGCCCCCCTGCGGGCCGCGCCGTGAGTGCGAGGGAGACAGAGCGACGCGGCGATGCTTCGGAATGGTGCGGCAGACAAACACAGCCGAGTCAACTCGGGGGCCGCCGGGGACCGTCACAGCAGCACAGCGGCGACCCGGTGACGTCAGACAGTCAGTGACCAGCACTCGGCTGCGCACAGTGGGCCAGAAGACCGGTGGAGGCGGCCAAAACTCTAGACGCGTTTTGAGCTCCAGAGTCGCCAAACGGAACTCGAACCGAACGTGTGACCCCACCAATGGATTCCTCGTTCGGAGAGCAATCCATTGGTGGGGTCACACGTTCCGTTCGAGCCCCGTTTAGCGACTCTGGAGCTGAAAACGCGTCTAGGGTTTTGGCCGCCTCCACCGGTCTTCTGGCCCACTGTGCTGCGGCGGCGCGGCGCAGCGTCCACCAGGTCTACTACAGGGAGGCTGCGTGCGGCGCGCCCTCGCCCCTCGCAGGGAATTCCAGCGCACAAGACTCGTGTTTGGCCTTCTTGGGGCGAAGGCCGCGTCGCCGCGTCCCTCCGGACCGACACCGACAGTCAATGAAATTCCCGAGGGGATGCTAGGCGAGGGGATGATGGCTGGTGGATTTTGGCATCTGGGTTCTGCGCGTCACCAGTGCTCCTTTCGAGTGCTTCGCGAGCAAAACTGTCCGCTTTGTCGCGTACCCGACACGGACTAAGCATTGCAGTCACGTGCGTTTGTGTTGTCGTTTTTGTTGTTGGCGTCGTCGTCGTTTAAGAAAATCTCGCGCGGGCGCATCTCGGCTGGCGCGCCGGCGCACCATCACGCTTGCCAATAAAACTATCCGCAGTCAGCAGGCGCGCGCGGCTGCTTTTCGATTTGCATTGCTGGCAGCACTGCGGCGGCACTGCGGGGTGTTGCCAACATCGAAACTGATGCGGCGCTTGTTCTCCGCGCCGCTCTGGGGGCGGCCTCCGGGCGGGCGGGGCGTTCGGGCGCTCCCGAACGAGTGACACACTCGTCGTCCGCTTAGCGTCGTCTGCTTTGCGTCGTCCGCTTAGCGTCGTCCGCTTGGTGTCGTCCGCTTGGCGTCGTCCGTGTGACACATCGATAAGCACACACCTGCACACACTTTCTGCGCGCGCCTTTCGATGGCGCGACGCACTCGTGCATTCTGCCGTCCTGCAGCAAAGCTCCTTGATTGCGTCGAAAAGAAAACGAAGGAAAGAACCCGGGATTTAAACCTGTTCGGCCATAAATCTTGATGATCCCGTCGAGTTTCTGAACTAGCCCGATGGCTGTAGTTTTCGGTGAGTCTGAATCTGATCGGCAGGCTGGCCACGCCGCCACGCCGCCACGCTCCTTGTTGACTCTTGATAAGAGTTCACGTACATTTAAGACGAACGCCTCGCCGCGTCTCGCTATCTCTGTCGCTCCCCCATTCACCAGTGGCGTAGCAAATTCAATCAGGAGTTCTCTGTCAGAAAAACGGTGGAAAATCGACTGACTGTTTGTCTATCCCGCGCGATCTCCGAGGCCCGGAGTGCCAGTGGTGGGCTATGTAACACGGACTAAGAGGTAATACAGTGCTTGTCTCGGGTTCGATGACGCCGCGGAGGTCGTGGAGGTGAACGAATCCGGGAAATGTAAAACACGATGATTGATGGTTCGGTTTGCTCTGTGCTGAGACGAACGACGACGATGACGTCCCGAGCGGCAGAAATGGAAGGCGTTTCCGTTTGAGCGACAGGTTCGAAGGCCTCGCCATGGCTCGCCATCCTCCTTCCGGGCCACTGTGAGGAGGCCACGTGCTCTCGGGCACTCCATTTACAGTGTCCGCCCGTTCACAAATCACGTAACGGACTCAACGGATTCCGGGGGCACTTCGGCCCTGCGGGGGGACGATTCAGGCCACGCAGGTTTGACCCCCAGGAGTTGATAAGCCGCAACCCTGAGACACTCTCTCTTTCTCTCTCTCTCTCAGCTGCAGCTGCAAGAGTGCCCTAGCGAGAGCGCGCAGCGAGACGTGCATTTAATCCCCGCTGCGGCACACAACGTGGTAGTAAACTGGCGTACGCAATTTCTTAAAGTGACGCGCGTACACTGTTGCATCGAGTGCAAAAGTGGGACGAGAGGAAGACGGCAAAGAAGAAGGCGTCTCGGCTGGAGAAATATTGACGTTGGGGCGTTTTGTTGGAATACTTAGCGCGCGGAGTGAGGCACGGAGTGGCACCGAGAGCGAGGATGCACGACCAGTTTCAGGAAGACGTATTGGGCATGCACAGCTCGTGAGAGAGAGAGAGAGAGAGAGAGAGAGAGAGAGAGAGAGAGAGAGAGAGAGAGAGAGAGAGAGAGAGAGAGAGGCGTTATTGGCTGCTGCACGAGGCAGGCCCACAAGGCCGTGCAGAGGATCAAGAAACCGGTGGAGAGGCGGTTCTATTTGTTGCAGGCAAAGCGGGTAGCACACGGCGCTCGGCAAATACGGCCAGAAAGAGCGGCGGCACGTCCGAGGCGCGGGTTCGAATCCGACTAACGGACGAGCGTTCTTGTCTCTTTTTTTTAGCGACAGTATATCAGGCGGTGTCGTCCGTATCAGGCCACCCTGGGCGGGAAGAGAAAATCCAGTCGGCTTTGTTTTTCGGGGGGGGGGGCTGCTACTCGAAGCTGGTCATGGAACTGTCCTGTTTCATGCCACTGTATCGGCGGCGGGCCTATTATCATCCTGCAGCTGGACCAGCGAGGCCCAGGCCCCGGGCGGGGTGGGGCGGGGTGGGGCGGGGCGGGGCGGCCCGTGCGTGCCCATAATGGTCGGCAGGAAGCCTGCCCAGCCTGCCCACAGAGTGACAGCTGTGTGTCGCCTAAAGACCTGCAAGGCCCTCGCCCCGCCTCGTCCCGTCCGGCCAGCCAGGCAAGGCCAGAGGTCACACGCGGCGCGGCGGCGGCGGGTCAAACGGCACTGCTACTGACCTTCCGTGACCGACGAGGCAAACTCAAACACGAGGGACGGCGGTTCGCGCCCCGGCCGGTGCGTCTAAGGTCGTCGAGGAATCAGGTCGAGATAGGGCGGTGATAAAAGCGCTCGCCACCTCCGCTGGCGGCCTCTCCCTGCCCCTCCCAGCCTTGGCCTCGCAGGCGACTCGCAGGTAGGCAGCACGCCGGCGCGGGCGCACGAGGGGATGCCGCCCAGTGGGCTGACCGTTACCACCGCCTCGCTCCACTCCCCAAGCCAGAGCCAGGCAGAGCGACAGAGAGAACGCCATGCTTCCATTCCAGGTCATCCAAGTCCAAGTTGCACTAGGTCTCAAAAGCCGCCAGGCCTGCTAGCGCCCGCTAGAAACCGCGCCTTCTTCGCCGGCAACCGAACTGCACCCTCCGCTGCCAGTTGCGAGCTGCGAACCCGGAGGACTTCCCTGTCGCAGTCACGGTGGAATTTTCCAGCTGAGAAACTGATTTT